ATTCACCGTAATTACACCTTCATCTGCTACTGGATATTTTATACATGTCATAGTTTGAAATTCAAAATGTATGATTACATTCAACAGTGCTCAAATTCTAAATGTATTGGTGAGTTTGAAAATGGTGTCATTTCTTAAAATATATGATTTTTAATTTCTGCCTCTAACATATTATTATGCAAATACTTAATATGGAATGTGGGAAGGAATCGTAGCAAATTGAGATCACAAAGGCAAAAAACCTGTCAACGTTTGCTAAGCATTTGTCACATGCGCAAATTGCTTCATGTCTGCAGTGCAACGTGGTCATTGGCACAGCGCAAGGCATCGCGTGAAGATAGACATGATGGTGTAAGGCAAGACGTGTCGCACGACGTCACGTACGCGCTAAGACTTATCAGCAAGATTTGAATCTACTAAGTCGGAAAACCTCTTCATAAATCACTGTGAATGGTGGGGCAGCCCGGCAATTTGTGAAAAGGGTCCTGAGATCAACAAGTAATGTGAGAGTAATAAGCCAGTGATAGGCAAATCCTAAGAGCATTCTGTGAGAGTTGGGATCTTAGAGTAATCTAGCAAGGATTTGTGTAGGATTAACGGATTCCGGGGAAATCCTCGGCCCACAGTAATTCAGCGTTTCACGCAGTGTATGTATAGACTGGGTGATTGGTGTAGCCATCTCAACTGCAATTAACATGTAACTTCGGAGAAATGCTCGGCGCATACTTGCAACATCCTGATATCATGAGTTGATAGCAGGACCCGCCACTGCTCAACCTTTCATGGACATGAGCCAAGGCCCGCGTTTCCATTCATGGATGCTTCTCGTCACTGATTCTACTCACATTGATTCATGAAACGTGTAAGGAAGCCAGTACAATATTCGCGAGTTCACATGTAATGTAAGATCTAGAGCTTTCCTCCCGTACGAGTCATGTGTCAAGATCTGTCGAAGGCAAGATCAATTGTGGCTGAACATTATGGATCGTGTGAACCTTGCTCACCGACGGCCACCGACTTGGCCGACAAGTTGAACTTCATCATTGCACATTTCTCACTGCTCAGCCCCCACCGTCGTGTTAGTGCTCAGACATGGCCACAATGCTTGCCAATCTTCAGCCTACCGCCTATGTCCCAACATCAATGCTGGAAGATCACGATTTGTCGATGTACTCGCTCGACTACGAGTTTGAGAGCGAGGGACGCTCGCTCGGCCTCATCGAGCCAGTGCGCAACCTCACCCTAGCCGACCTCAGCGACATGGATATCGAGAAATCTCTCGCGGACATCTCTATGACAATGGAATTGCCTGAAGTTCCCATGTTCGAGCCTGAGCCCAAGTCAGCAAGCCGCTTGCTAACAAGTTCCCCCCGGCCACGGTGCCGACGTTCGTACTCTGATGCGCTGCTTTCGGTCCAATCTCGGCAGCCGGAAGTGTTCCAGAGCATCACTTGTGCGCCTGGATTGCGCGACAACAGCTTTGAGGTGAGCTGTGCCGATGTGGTAGAGGAAGTACGATCGAGGCCGACCGTGATCAACATACGCAGGAGTTGCGTCTCGAGTGCTATAGCATCAGTTTCACTGCCACAGGCCAACCTCCAGTACCAGTATCCAGCGACGCTCCACGAGGGGCAATCATCCCCCCGTTTTATGCTCCATTTACCAACAAGAGGATAGAGGACCGCAGGAACGATGACTCAGAGGTTGCTGACGTGTCGATGTCTCTTGAAGTGAGTTCCACCAACGTGTCTAACCTCATTCCCATTGATACTGAGTAGTTTTGTATGCTGTTAGCCGAGCCTGTTGAACGCGTTCGACGGGGGCGTGCAGCTTCGCGATTATTAAGCGGCCATCTATATATCCCGCCTTAGGAGATAGCTCTGTCCCCGCTTAGATGGGCAAGAGTCAAATAGCTGCGTGTTCCGCGGACTGAGCTGGGATTCTCCATGACAGTGTTAGGAAGGATTTATGTAACATTCTCTGCTGTATCATTTCCTTGCAGGCTCGGCATGCTGGTTGTAGTTGCTTCCATGTCTGCTGTACTAATCGTGATACTCTCGCGTGCTAAACTTTCTTTCAAGCTTTGTATGCCTCGGAGGAGCTTCAAGAATTACTGATTATCTTGTTTATTCGATTTGGTTGAATACGAACGCGTCGCGACGCGCCGTGAGATGAAATCAAGACGCGGTCTCGTGACGAGTAGTAGTATGTGCACGTAGTATATAAACTCGAGGAAGAGCAGGTCTATATGTAGCTCGAGCGCGCGCTGAGCGCTGAGCGAGCCTTCTGCTTGCTTAATATTCTCGAAGTCAGATGCGTAGATACCGGAAAGACTGATACAGTACTCGCAACAGCACGGACAGATGTTCTTGGTACTATCACTGGTCCACTAATGCAATTTTTTCAGAGTTTCGCATCCTATTCTGCTGTCAGTGAGCAGACCCCCTCGGAGATTTTATTCTTACAAAGACTGGGGTCTTGAGAACACTGATGAATATTTGTGAGTGAACAGGATGCGAAGTGGATGAATCCGAGGATGACTTCCAGTCGCAACACCAATGCAATTGTCAAGAATCATCAGCCACCGTGTGGGAACGAGTTCATTTTGACAGTCCGATCCGGCACCACTGAAAATGGATGTTCTCCGATGCAGCTCCGCCATTCTCAGCTCGAATGGACCTTCTGAACCTTCCTTATTTGGGTATGTTTCTCGTTCTGGCAGCCACACTGCAGACATGAAGCAATTTATGCATGTGACAAATGCTTACCAAATGTCGACAGGTTTTTTGCCTTTGTGATCTCAATTTGCTACGATTCCTTCCCACATTCCATATTAAGTATTTGCATAATAATATGTTAGAGGCAGAAATTAAAAATCATATATTTTAAGAAATGACACCATTTTCAAACTCACCAATACATTTAGAATTTGAGCACTGTTGAATGTAATCATACATTTTGAATTTCAAACTATGACATGTATAAAATATCCAGTAGCAGATGAAGGTGTAATTACGGTGAATGACTTTCATTCTAGTAATCTTGGCTAGAATGACTTCAGTAGGAAAGTAGAATGTAGGCATAATCACACCTTCATCTGCTACTGGATATTTTATACATGTCATAGTTTGAAATTCAAAAATGTATAATTACATTCAACAGCACTCAAATTCTAAATGTATTTGGTGAGTTTGAAAATGGTGTCATTTCTTAAATATATGATATTAAATTTCTGCCTCCAACATATTATATGCAAATACTTAATACAGAATGTGGGAAGGAACCGTAGCAAATTGAGATCACAAAGGCAAAAAACCTGTCGACATTTGCTAAGCATTTGCCACATGCGCAAATCGCTTCATGTCTGCGGTGCCACTCACTCCTTACACTCCTCCCAGAGAATGCAGGGCTCGCGCAATATATGTCGGCTTCTGTCAACATAGAGTTCACATATATACGAAGTCTACTCGAGAGCCTCATGAGACCATGATCAGCTATGCGAGCAAGCGAGCCTCGGGAAAGCATCAAAATGGGGCTCTTCACTGTAACTACTTGTACCATATGCCAGCAACATGCAATGTCAAAAATCTGAATAGGCAGCCTTAACTGTAATACTTGCATGTACATTGCATGAATTTTTCAGATTTTGAATGTGTTATTAAGACGGGAAAGACGTGAATTGCATTAGGGTTGCAATTGCATTGTGGGGCCACTGATAGTACGACCTAAGTTTCAAATCTGGCCTTCCAATTTGTACTCCGCTGTGGCTGTGGTGATGCCACCTCTCCCGCCCCTACACGGTCTGGTTGCGAGACTATGTACTTTCCAGATGGGCATTGGCTATTTGCGAGCCGATTCAGCCACCATCTCAGTTGATTGACAATCCAACAAGACAGCTGGTTGATGTAACTAGATTATTGAATGCTCGAGTCGGTCCGGCTCAGATGGGCCGCTCCAGTAAACAAGTTCGGTTCGCGAACCACATGTAACTTTGGAAATTGCTGTCTCCTCTACGTTCTGCGATCACGAAACCATATACCAAATGTCTGATGCAAAGCCGTACACAGAGGCATGGCTTCCCGGGCCAGACGGTCACCAGTTTTACACCCGTACCTATCGCCCAAGGGCAAGCCCGCACGCAGCGGTGGTGTTCATTCATGGATTCGCAGAGCACGTAGCTCGACACGAGCACGCACACAGCAACTGGGCGACCAAGCACATGCTCGTATTTACATTTGACCAGCGCGGCTTCGGGAGGACAGCACTGGACCCCGAGCGACGCAGCAAGGATGCCTCGTACGGGAAGACGTCGCACCAGCAGCAGATGCGCGACATCGAATGGTGGGTGCGGCATGTGAAGAGAGACTACCCTGATCTGCCACTCTTCTTGTTTGGACACTCCATGGTGTGTGACCCGTATGATCCTGATACTCGCTCACACTGACAGCGTGCACAGGGAGGCGCACTGGTCCTGGCATTTCCCACCCAGACAGAGCCGCCGCCGTCAAAATACACCCTCGAGATGCTCTCCGGAGTCATCGCGTCGAGTCCGCTCATTATTCAGACTACGCCCCGATCGCGACTCCTGCGCAAGGTCGCCGGCGCCGCTGCACTGGTCGTCCCCTGGATGCAGTTCCCGGCGAAGGTGCCGCCCGAGGCGAGTCCGGTACGCACTGCTCTATCCCGTAGCTGACCGGCGGCCAGGATCTTTCCCACGACCCTGCAGTGAGCAACGCTGTTGGTTCGGATCCGCTGATCAAAGAGTACGGCACACTGCGTGGGCTGGTTGATATGCTTGACAGGGTATGTGGTGCTTTGATGCGCCCGCGCTGTGTAATCGAGCTCCTAACAGGGCGAGAGGGTGCTCCGGTTCGGACATCAGTACTGGCCGAAGAAGTTGCCTGTGAGTCTCGTTCGTTGCTATAGTCTGTATGTGCTCATACATGCAGTTGTCTAGATCCTCATTGTCCATGGTACGTATGACAAGGTGGGGAGCCAATGTTGTACACTTCAGGTTGCGATGCCGACCGTGCTGGCAGGTCACATCTCACAAAGCGTCCGAGAAGTTCTTCGGTAAGATCAACGCAGAAAACAAGAAGCTGTTGTTGTACCCGGTACGAGCCTTTTTCTGGTGTTTTGCTCACGTTGGTATATTCTTCGACCATATTGCATTCGGATTCCCGGCAAGGTTCTTCACAGCATACAAGCAAAGGAGGCTTAGAAGCCGATGCGCAAATGCTGCTTCATTAATGTCCTTGACAGGACTTTGTTGCAGCTAGAGGGAACGTCAACTCTTGCCGCTCACAGAGGCTACGGGGATGTGCCCAATGCGAGCTTTGGCTCATCGCGCGTGAGTCCCATGGGTGCTCTGCTATGTGGCTATCACTCTGAGGCAGTACATCTGCATGGAACGCGTTCCTGTCCACAACAGAAATTGATGTGGCATTGTTCTCCCCGGGCGGACGGACTCATAGTATGACCACGAGACACTATTCAGCCGAAGCAGTTCATGGTTACGTTTATTCTAACTTATCGAGCCATTTCGTCAATACATTCAACGAGCTTTGGTTCGACCAGAAGATATAGAAGGGGCCGAAGCTGACTCGTGACTTCTATTATTTTCCGGGGGATACTTCATTCCAACTGTCTGTCAGCATCGCTATGAATTCTCAAAGGCGAGCTGGTCTTCAGACAGCACCCATTGACGTTCGTTCTGTACACCGATCCCCTTTGTTGTGTCTTTGAGATGCGATATGCTCATCCGGCTACTTGTTCAGGGTGCATATCACGAAATCACGAACGAGCCCGACGGTGTCAAGGAGAAGTTCTGGTACGACTGCGATGGGTGGATCACCGACGTGCTATACAAACTGTACTTTAACTCGAGAAACCCTGGCTGATGCCCGTGACAGACCTTGCGATCGAGTCGGCGCGGTGGAGAACTCGGACACGCGTTCTGTCGCGATATAGAAAGATGTTTTTCTTCTATGTGCTACATATTTTAAATCGACAGCGCACACAACCGATGACAGAATAAGTATGGGGGTTCATCTGAGAGAGCAGAACTCATTTGATCTAACATCACGGAGTGAGACCGCGTACCGAGCAGAATCCACGCTTTTTTCTCGTGGGGCTGTGCGATGGGCCGTCCTCGAGACTCCTCTTCATCGGCGAAGCAATAAAGGAACTCGGCTCCTCAATCATCTCGAGCTCGACAATGTCGGTGTTGAACGAGTAAAATTTCTCAATCTTCCAACGTGAAATCAACGACTGCCTTGACAAGCGCCCCCTTCAGCCCATGCTTGTAGTGAACGGTGATTGAATCAAGCGTTCGTTCCTGTCGTAGGCGGGCAAAAGCTGAGGACGGTGCGTCTTCGCCCTTTCAAGCCTTGCTCAAGCAGCGTGGGCCTCATTCGACTTGCAAGGTCAAGTCGCAATGCTCCATTCTTCAAGTATGCAATAGGATGTCAGTGAGATACTCTGCGAGAGACAAACGTGTCACTCACTTTTCCTGAATTGGTTGCCGTCGTTAGGATCGACAGTCTGAACGTGGCAACGTCAGCGCAAACACGCCTACGACAGAGCGACGGATGACTCACCTCGAAAATCTTATGGCGGATTTTATGCTGTTATTGTGCACGGGGATGATGGTCTTGCCCTTCGACTGCTGGACAATCGCACGAGCTCCTGTAAGTGCCTGGTGGAAGAGTGCACACAGGTGATCATCCCGAGGAGCCGCGAGCTAAGCTGATTCTCGAAGTCTTTGCTGTTCTTGTCACCTCCACCACCTAACTTGTGGCTCCAGTTGCCGCAGGGATGCAACCAGAAGGAACGGCCAATCATGTTTCCGACAAGCCATAAAGAGACTGCCTCGTTCAGCCTCATCATGGACGAATACCTCACAATCGTCTATGTCTTCTCTCCATACCAGATCCCTGAGTGCATCCGGATGACCAAGAGAACGGATGTCGCTTTTGTCATCGTCGACGATGTGAGCAAAGAAGGCCTTCAAAGGAGTGGCCTGTCAAGTGGCAGGGAGAGGCGGCATATAGGACAAGGTAGACTCGAACAAACGATCGTCAGCCATCACATTAAGAGGTCGTCCGGGATGAGGAATGGCTGCATACCACGATCCACACGTGACGGCTTTTTTGTGATTGTTCAAGCCACAAAGAACCAATAAGCACATCAGATGAAAGGAGGTCCCTGGTCTTGTGGTGCTCGTGGATGCTTGGAATGTCTGTAACCGGTCTTGGGTGGCAGCTTCGTCACTTGAATAAGTACTTTCGAGAGTGGCTTCATCTGCTCACAAGCAAAGAAAAAAGCCGTGCAAGCCTGTGACTTTGCATAAGGATTTGCCTCGACCAGAAGCCCTCAAAGAGTCCAAGTAACATAAGGCCAGCAGGTATATCAAAACAGAATCAGCACGAGAGTCTACAAGATGTGCGCACGGGATGAGCAGCCAATAACATTCGAGCAGGAAAGGGCAGAGAAGAGAGAGAGGGTATCATCGAAGCAGACAATCCAGTGAAAAATCATGCCATAAGTACTCAAGCTATAAGCCACTGCCCAACAGCTTAGGACGAGTGGTGCACTGCGAATATAACAATACAAATTCAGACCGACACATTGCGCCACGAAGGAATCAGAGAGCTCACCAAACAAATCAATATTGAGGCCATCTAATCTACATCACTGTCGGGATCAAGGTCAACAAGCTTTGATGGGTCTTCATCGAGCTCGGTATCATGAATGGTGATGATCTCCCTCCGTCCAACAGACGAATGCTATCTTCGTCGCACGCTCGACAATGCGAGTCATCTTCTTTGGCTTCGCGATACTGAGTCTTCGTGCCGCCTCTGCATACCCGACTAAGTATTGGCACGTGATCGAAATGGCGTGCTACACTACAGAAGGCGGAATTTGAAGCAGACCTTAATATCGTATGTCGTCGCTTCCTCAGACGATTTTATAGGTCTGCCTAGGGGAGACAAGCTTGCTCCGTACCTCGCTTCGTTTTCGGAAGGCGGCTTGGCTATTTGTCGCATCGCCGGTAGCGACATACATGCTTTTCAGCAGGATCCCCTCGCCATTTTCCAATGCCATATTGCCCTTAACCAGAGCGATAATAGTGCACGGTAAGTCTGCATCGTTACCAGCTGCCCCGCTTCCACACAGGGCGGCTTTCGGCGAGTAGCAGATGATGCGCGTTACTACGTGCCGCAGCAGAGGACATAGTGCCGACAGGGCAATCCTCACGTCTTTGCATACCTGTAAGCCCGGGAACATCCATAGCATCCTTCGCGTAGGTGTAGTGATGAGCTAGTATTCGTGTACATGATGAATACAGATTGGTAGACGCCCGTCCGCTCCTGGGGAGTGCATTAATTATCAGCATTGATATTGAATATTGAATACTAGGCGGTGCGAGTGATCCTGAGCAGGCCCCGGGCAACTCTCACATATGAGTGTCGCAAAAATCTTCCAAAATCAGCCTAAAATATGCAAAGTTTTTGGCCTGAAGTATGCAAAGTGCGACAAGGCCCGTGACTATGTCACGTTATGTAACGATATGTCACGTCATGTCAGAGTTGAAAACATACGGATTTGTTGGCGAGACAGCATGGTGCTCTTGCACCTCTTCTTTTTCCCGTACCACCATGTCCGCTATAAGCGCCCAACAAGCGACTGCCAGCGAATCGACCATGGAGGGCATAGGTGTCGAGCAAACTCCTCCGGGAGGGTCTCCACCGCCAGCGAGCGCGACGTCGTCGGCCCCAGGGCCGACGCCCCCGCACCCGCCGGTCCACATTCATATGCGCGACACCATTAGGTCTCTGCGTAATAATCTGAGCGACCTTTCTGTCGGCGTGCAACGCGCTATCAAAGGCCCCTACGAGGCCGCGTCATACTCCGACGAGTTCGAGAACTGCGCTGTCGCGCTCTCTACCTGCCTTCGCGACTTCCACGACGCTCTCGTGCGCGACCCCCTCATCGTCGACACCGAGGCTGGTGTCCGGGTCCTGAACCTCTACCAAGGTCTCTTCCATCAGCGGCTTAGCGAAGCAGCCGTCCTTCTCGACGACGACGCACTCATGGACGAAGTTCCGCACACCCGCCCGCGCACGGAAGGCGCCCTCCCTGTCGGCATCGACATGCAGGCTGCCCTGACTAAGGCTGTCGAGGACGGCGTTCGTATGGCCACGTCAGCCATCAACACGCGACTGTCGGCTATCGAGGCCCAGCTCGTACGTGGGCGCCCGCTGCCACAGCCTCCTCAGGCCCCCGAGGGACCGCGACCCCAACCGCCAGTCCGTACTGGTCGACAACGTGCCCCTGCCGCCGACTCCAGTGCTACTGCCCAGGAAGCGCAGCCTACCACGCAGCCTGTGACACAGGCCCCGAATGCCCAATCCATGGCACAGGTGGCCGCCAAGAACCGCGAGAAGTGCTACGTCCTTCTCATTACTCCCGAGCAGCATACCGCCATCGAGGCAGGAGGCACCATGCCCCAATGGTATGCCAAGGTCCATACACGCCTGCGCGAGACCCCCGCGTGGGCGAAGGTACGTTTTCTCGGTCTTCGTTTCGCTGGACCAACCAAGGTCCAAGCGGCTTTCTCGCATGATTCCCCGGATGCGCTTATCAAGGAGTGTCTCCGGCCCATCCGTCATCTGCTGGGCGTGGTCCCACGGGCACCGTCCCCTGCACCGGGCCCGCGAGAGCAGGCATCTGTCCCACAAGACTTCCGCCCTCTCGCCCCGGTAACTAAACTTTTCATTCCGAGCTGCCCGCTCCGTCACCCTGACTCGGGAGACATGCTCACCGAGGAGGAGATTCTGGCGGAGCTACGCCGCAACTCCATGTTCTCGTCCGTTCACTTCAATGGGCTTCCCGGATTTGTCGTTCCCCCTGAGCACCGCGAGCAGCTCGGGAAATCCTCCCTTATCGTTTCTATTGAGGATATGCACCGCGACTTCTGCGCGCGCAACCTCCTCGGTCGTGACAACCGCGGTGACGCCGCTGGCTTTATCTGGTTTTATGGTTCTCGCCTCATGGTTAAGAAGTCGAAAGATCGTCCCGTGTTCCGTCAGTGCACTCGTTGCTGGCGCCTCACACATCTCGAAAGTCACTGCAAGAAGCGGGCACCGGTGTGCCGCTTCTGTGGAAAGACTACCCACACGTCCGATATGCATCGGCAGGCCTGCCTTGTCTGCAATCATGAGGCTCGCCTGGCCGATCAGCCTTGCGAGTCTGCTCACTATTTCTGTGTGGTCTGTGGCACCAACGGTCACAATGCCGCTGACACCGCCTGCCCTGCGCGGAAAGATTACCGCATCCCCATCTCGCGCACCAACCCCTCATCATGAATATTACAACCGCGCATCTGAATGTGGCCCGGTCTAATCCGCGCGTCCACGGTTTCGTTTCTTCCACTTCATACGATATCTATTTCCTTCAAGAACCGTGGTGGGGGCAAATTGGCATTGACACCCCCCATGGCTCTGAGTCCGGCACTGTTGTTTTTGGTCACGTCAATGTCCGGCCCTACGGCCTGGACGCTTTTCATTTCCCCTCAACCTCTGCGATGCCACGACCTCGAGCCAGTATCCTGGTCTGGCGCGTACTCTTAAACACTTACCACATATCCATGCGTACCGACCTGGTGTCGGACCCAGATGTGGTCGTTCTTCATTTCGTCTCCCGCTCTGATCCCACCCACAATTTCTTCGTGGTCAATTGCTATAACGAAGGCTCGCGAGCCCAACACCGCGTCCTGCCCATTCTCTATGACATCCCTTTCCCGCCACGAGCGAACCTCCTTGTCACCGGCGATTTTAATCTCCACCACCCCCTATGGTCGTGGACCGGACGGGCCTCCCGCTCTGCTTCCACTGCCTCCACCGCTTTTGCGGGGTGGCTAGAGCGCGAGTCGCTCGAAATCCTTAATGACCTCGATCAACCCACCCACATGGTGAATGGAGACCTGCTCTCAGGCACCATCATCGATCTGGTCTGCGCGACCTCCAGTGCGCAGTTTCACGTTCACGGAATTGCTGCTACTCCCACATCTTTTGAATCCGATCACGCTCTACTAACCTCTACTCTCTCTCACGTTGCCCACCCTGTAGACGTTGACCTTGGCTTTCGAGTCGATGTGTCCAAACGAGACGACTGGAACACGTGCCTTGCCCGCAAGCTGGCGCTGTCCCCACCGCCGGCCAACTATACCACCAATGACGACCTCGACGCGGGTGCTCAGGCTCTTCTGCGAGCAATGTCCGTGGCCTGCCACGAAGTGTTCCCTCGACGCACACATGCTCACCGGGCCTCCCAGCTCTGGTGGAACGATGCGTGCGACACTGCCTGCGCAAATGTCCAGGCGGCGCCTACTCGTGAGGAATGGCAAGCAGCCAAAGCCGCCCTCTCGACCACCATCCGACAAGCTCGAAAGGATTGGACCCGGGAGGCGGTCGCGCGACTCCAGCACACCGACCCCTGGCGACTCGCCTCCTGGACCAAAGGAGTGCGGGCACCACCGCTGCCCGTCATCCGCGCGGACAGGGAGACTGGCTCTCTCCCTGCCGACGCGGGTCGTCTACTCACCCGTTTCTATTTTCCGGCGTCTCCGCCCTTGCCTGATCTGCCTCCTCTTTTTACCTCTGCGCCTCCGGCAGCACGCCCAGACCGCCCCCTCCTTGTCACTGAAGTCACTGCCACCATCGAGGCTGCGTCTAACTATTCCGCACCTGGCATCTCCGGAGTGTCGTGGCGGCTCCTTAAATGGGTCTGGCGGTCTGGTGCGCGTCATGCTCTTTTCCGTTTTCTTTTCTCTTCTTTGCGCATGGGTTACCTCCCCGCCCCACTTCGGGCTGCGGCAGTTGTGTACTTGCCCAAGCCGGGCAAGGCGGATTACACCACACCCAAGTCCCACCGACCAATTGCTCTCCTGGAAACCTTAAGCAAGGTCCTCGAGAAAGTGGTTGCTGCCCGTTTCAACTTCCAGATCGGTGCTCACAATCTTGTGCCCGGCTCACAGTTTGGTGGGCGGGGCCAGCATTCCATCGTGGATGCCGGAGTCACTTTGATGCACCGTGTACGCACCGCTTGGGAAAACGGTTTCTCTGCTACCTTACTGTGCATGGATGTCGAGGGATACTACAATAACATTCGCCACGACGTCCTTCACTCTGCTCTCCTTTCTATGGGCTTTCCCACGAATGAGGTCCTTTGGACCATGTCCTTCCTTTCTTCGCGCACTGTGCGGCCCAAGCTCAATTCAGAGCTGGGTCCGTCATACCACGTCGCTGTGCTCGGCATCCCACAGGGATCGCCTCTGTCACCAGTCCTCTCTACCATATACTCTTCCCCGATGTATGCGAACCTTGATCCGTTCGCGCATCCCCAGCAGTCCACGGCGGGTTACGTCGACGATTTTTCCCTCCTCATCGTTTCTCCCTCGCTGAACGAGAACACGACCATCATCCAGCGCACTCTGCCGAGTGTGGGCGCCACGCTTCGTCAGCTTGGGCTGACCATTGGCATGGCGAAAACAGAGCTTATCCATTTTACCTCCCCGAGACGCTCCCTTGACGTCAACCCTCCCCTGCGGATTCAGTGGGACGGAAGGGATGTCACCATACAGCCCGCTTCATATCTGCGATGGCTCGGCATCTGGTACGATAGACGCCTAACCTTCACCCACCACATTCGCGTCATGGCGGCCAGGGCTTCGTCCCGCGTAGCCGCTTTCCGCATGCTCGCCAACACACAGCGGGGCATGACGGTCGCGCAAGCCCGCCTGCTATACCTTACCACCATCCTTCCCATACTTACCTTTGGTAGCCCTGTGTGGTATAACCCGCGGGGCCCACGCTCACTCTTTCAACCTTTGCAACAGGTACAAAACAACGCACTGCGGTGGTTCATGGGAGCATGGCGGTCTACCCCCCACCACGTCCTCAACCTCATATCCAGCGTCCTGCCGATGCGACACCAGCTCGACAAACTCAACGGCCTTGCCGCAGCCCGCCTCCTCACCCTATCCGAGTCCCATCCGGTGATCCACTGCCTGGCGGCCAACCGCACTGCACACCCGCCCAACTTCTCCCTCCTCAACCCCGCCATCCCTATCCACCACGGCACCAGCGCAGTGGATGTGCTCGAACAAACCCTGCCCAAGAGAGCAGCGCGCCTTCTCCCCTGGTTGCAGCCGCCCTGGGACCCCGCGCATCCGTGGGGTGAGAGGGTTCACGTCTGTGTCCCTCCGCCTACCAAAGACGGCTCCAAGGAGTACTTACGTTCCTTTTTCTTCCCTCTTTTACATTCTTCCGTCACTCTACCCGACGCCCTGTGGGTCTTCACAGACGGCTCCCAAATCGCCCAGCCCGACCCCGCCCCGCGGAACCGACGAGCAGGTGCAGGTGCGTGTATCATTCACCAGGGTGCGATAAAGTACGAGCGGGCCTGGGGCTTGGGCCACCAGGCTGAGGTGTACGACGCAGAGCTCTTCGCAATGGCAGCGGTCGCCAGCCGCTTTGCCGGTTTTCTGGCGACCTACCCCATGATCACTCACGTTTACCTCTGCGCGGACAACCGCGCTGCCCTGTCCAATGTCCTGTCGCTGCGACCACACAGTGGCCAGCCCTTTTCTATTCGCTTTCGGGCATTTCTCGCTCCTCTCATGGAGCAATACCCACTTCTGAACATTTCTTTGCTATGGGTTCCTGGGCATACGGGTGTACTGGGTAACGAGGTGGCGGACCGGCTAGCCAAGGAAGGCACATCCCTACCCGATAGTGTCCTGCCCACCCTGACGTGGACCAGGCACTGGGCGCGCGAGCGAGCGACCACCTCCTGGCAAACTGAATTCTGTTACACCGATCGACCCCCTGCAATACGGTCCTCGTGGCCGTCCCTGCCCTCCCAGACGCTCCACCCTGTTTTCACTTCTAAATACTATGAACGCGACGTAGAAGCCAGGTTAACCCAAGCCTTAACGGGCTACGGCTACCTGGCCCCTTACTTTTCTTCTCAATTTGGGACGGCGGGCCCCGCTCGTCACTTCCGTGGCGCACCCTGTGTGTGCGATCTAACCACCCCCAGCACCCGCACCCACGTCATGCTGCGCTGCCCAAGACACGCGCACGTACGGCACCTGCTCTTCCGGACCCCCGAGCCCACCCTCCTGGATTTACGTCGGTTTTGGCACCACCCCACCGGCCTCCATCGCCTCATCGCTTTCATTTCTACCACACCCGTTTTCTCCGCCGCGGCCCTCGCGCCCCCGGACCCTGGCTGATACGCCTTGCCCTCGCGGCACGTCTGTGGCCAAACCTCCCTCTTTACTCATAGTCCACACGTCGACACTTCTTCGTGCGGTTTCATTCATGTATTTACACCCTCCCAACCGCGCATAGCGCGGTATAGAAATAAATGTACAAAAAAAAAAAAAACAAAAAAAAAAAAAAAAAAAAAAAAAAAGTGCTCTTGCATAACGATGTTCTGATAATCGAGGGATACATAGAATGTGTGCTTAGAGTGACTAGTGAGACTCAGGGGAAGGAGAGGATGTAGGAAAGGCTCGAATGCTCTTGGACGTAACAATGCAGACAATGCCTGCATGTATTATAACGGTTATCGGGTTCAGGAAATCACTCAATTAATTTATATTGATATGGGGCTACCATGGGGGGCCTTGTCGCATGGATATCAAGCTTTAGCCACCCGGACATGCCTTAATTGGGGGCCTCCTGACACCCATCAGGTCCCAAAATATGCTAAGTTGCGATAAGGTTAGGGGTCTTGGAACGGCCTCAGAGGCCCTAAATATGCAATCAGCGACAAGGAAATCATGATTTTGGGCCCCTCAAAATAGCATTTTTCTATTTTGCGACACTCATATATGAGAGTTGCCCGGGGCCTTCCTGAGCCTATCCGCAACGCAGGCGCCGGTCCCCTGGCATTACTGTCTCCTTTGCATTTGTCGCTCTACGTTCTGCGATCACGAAACCATATACCAAATGTCTGATGCAAAGCCGTACACAGAGGCATGGCTTCCCGGGCCAGACGGTCACCAGTTTTACACCCGTACCTATCGCCCAAGGGAAAGCCCGCACGCAGCGGTGGTGTTCATTCATGGATTCGCAGAGCACGTAGCTCGACACGAGCACGCACACAGCAACTGGGCGACCAAGCACACGCTCGTATTTACATTTGACCAGCGCGGCTTCGGGAGGACAGCACTGGACCCCGAGCGACGCAGCAAGGATGCCTCGTACGGGAAGACGTCGCACCAGCAGCAGATGCGCGACATCGAATGGTGGGTGCGGCATGTGAAGAGAGACTACCCTGATCTGCCACTCTTCTTGTTTGGACACTCCATGGTGTGTGACCCGTATGATCCTGATACTCGCTCACACTGACAGCGTGCACAGGGAGGCGCACTGGTCCTGGCATTTCCCACCCAGACAGAGCCGCCGCCGTCAAAGGATACCGTCGAGATGCTCTCTGGGGTCATCGCGTCGAGCCCGCTCATCCTTCAGACTACGCCCCCGCCGCGACTCCTGCGCAAGGTCGGCGGCGCCGCTGCACTGGTCGTCCCGTGGATGCCATTCCCGGCGAAGGTGCCGCCCGAGGCGAGTGCGATATGCGCTGCTCTACACTGTAGCTGACCGTGGGGCCAGGATCTCTCTCACGATCCTGTTGTGAACAACGCTATTGGTTCGGATCCACTGATCAAAGAGTACGGAACGCTGCGTGGGCTGGCTGATATGCTTGACAGGGTATGTGATGCCTTGATGCGCGTGCGCTGTGTAATCGAGCTCCCATCAGGGCGAGAAGGTGCTCTGGTTCGGCTATCAGTACTGGCCGAAGAAGTTGCCTGTGAGTCTCGTTCGTTGCCATAGTCTGTATGCGCTCATATATGCAGTTATCTAGATCCTCATTGTCCACGGCACGGATGACAAGGTGAGGAGTTAACGCTGTGCAATCCGGATCTCGATGCCGACCATGCTGGCAGGTCACATCTTACAAAGCGTCCGAGGAGTTCTTCGGCAAGATCGACGCAGAAGACAAGAAGCTGTCGTTGTACCCGGTAAGAGTCTTTTCTCTGGCATTTCGCTCACGTTGGTATATTCTGCGACCATATTGCGTTCGAATTTCGGGCGAGGTTCCCCACAGCATACAAGTAAAGGAGGCTTAGAAGCCGATGCACAAATGCTGCTTCATTAATGTCCTTGACAGGACTTTGTTGCAGCTAGAAGAAACGTCAGCTCTTGCCGCTCACAGAGGCTACGGGGATGTGCCCACTGCGAGCTTTGGCTCACCGCACGGGAGTCCCATGGGTGCTCTGCTATGCGGCTATCACACTTGTGCAGTACATCTGCATGGAACGCGTTCCTGTCCATAACCGAAACCGACGGACTCATCGTATGACCACGGGACACTAGTCAGCCTAAGCAGTTCATGATTACGTTTATTTAAGCTGTCGAACCACTTCGTCAATGCATTCGACGAGCTTTGGTCTGACGAGAAGGTGCAGAAGGGGCCGAAGCTGACCCGCGAGTTCTTTCATTTTCCTGGGGATCCTTCATTTTAACTGTCTGTCGGCATCGCTATGAATTTTATAGAGCGAGCTGTCTTCAGACAGCGCCCATTGACGTTCGTTCTGTACACTGATCCGCTTCATTGTGTCTTTCAAATGCGATATGCTCATCCGGTTGTTTATTCAGGGTGCATATCACGAAATCATGAACGAGCCCGACGGTGTCAAGGAGAAGTTTTGGGACGAATGCGTTGCGTGGATCCACGAACACATACCAAAGCAGAGCGACCCGCAGCTGGCCAAGCTCTGATGGCGGCGGATTGACGGTGCTGTTGCGAAGGAGTTGACGCTTCACTTGACACGTCTGGCTGTATCTGTCTCGCGCGATGATTTTGAACAATCATCCCTGCGCTGTATTTGTAGTAGATAGAATGGATCATTTCCGTCGCGTTTCAGGATGAGGATGGGAAGGGGAATTGGTCCGTGCGCTAATAGCCGAAGGGTGGGAACAATTAGCTGCAGATGATAGAGGTTCAGTTGCGGGACTCGCCTTGTTTCTCTTCTTCGCTGTCGCCCTGCCCGTTGTCCCTCGTCTTCGTTTTCGTGGTGGGCAGCCGTGAATTCAAGAGTTCTTCTTTAAATAATCCTATATATCGCATCCACCGCCCTCTTTTTTTGTGCGTGTCTTTTTCTACAACACCAACTCCATCACGCTCTTTTACCAGAGTTCCTGATCCGCTATTGCGCTCCCCACACTCTCTAACTTGCTTCTATCGTTTTTTTCCGTTACCTACGTCCTCCGTCCATTGAATCGTGACATACCGCCTCCGCGACATGGATGACTCACAGACTGCTTTCGTCGCGCAATACGCTGGCTACGGTTTCGATCTGGATATGATGAAGGTGAGTATCCGTGGCGTCTGCAGCTAGCAAAGCCTTGCTGATGTCTTGCGTGGCAGAGATCTATGGATACTGTAGGTGGCCCTGACGCCAAGAAGGCCCGCTGGTCCCCCACCTTCGGTGCGTCGAACGGAACGAACGGTCTCTCTTCAGCGGCAGTAAACCGCGACGCCTTTGCCAACTACGGGTACGGGCCTAACGCAAGCATCGTACAGTCGGGGTTCACTAACTCGCCCCCGTCCAACGCATTTGGCGGCAACCCCCTGTATTCGACGCCTCAGCTGAGCATCAACACCGCGACAGTGGGCGCCAACGGCATGCCATCTCAGCTGAGCCCAAACACCGCAGGGCCGTTCACGCCTCAGCAACAGCAGCCATCACCCAACGGGAACAACGGAGGGAGCCCATACGGCGGATTCGGGGGGTATAACATGTTGGGGATGGGCCTGCCAGCGATGAACATGCTCGGCGGGTTCCCGTACAACGCGCATATGGCGAACTTCACACAGGTGAGCACCCCAGTCTCCGCATGCAGAGCGGGTTTGCATGTCGATCGTACGCAGAATCTGAACCAGCAGCGGCCTCTGTCACTGCAGATTCCCGGGATGCAAGCTGGGCCTTACTCGCCCGCCGCACTGACAGCGGCGCTCTCGGCGCAGAACAATGCCACGGGACGCACAGTCTATGTTGGCAACCTGCCCGCGACTGCCTCGGTTGATGAGCTTCTCAACCTGGTCCACTTCGGGCCGCTCGAATCAATCCGGGTGCTGCCTGAGAAATCGTGCGTATTCCTGTCCTTCCTGGATGGTGCGACCGCGGCGGCGTTCCACGCGGATGCTTTGATCAAGAAGCTGTCCCTTCACGGGCAAGAGCTCAAGATTGGCTGGGGCAAGCCCTCCCCAGTGCCTAGCCAGGTCGCGCTCGCTATCCAACAGAGCAATGCTAGCCGGAACGTCTACCTCGGTGGCTTGGATGAGGGGATTACGGAGGAACAGCTGAGAGATGATCTCAGCCGCTTCGGTCTCATTGACCAGGTGAAGATTGTTCGTGACAAGAACATCGGTTTTGTGCACTTCTTGAGCATCTCCGTCGCAACGAAGGTGCGCTGCAATGCATATACGGGTCCATCTTCAAAGCTGAACAACTTATCTATCAGGTGGTAAATACGCTGCCCACGGAGCCGGCCTGGGCTGGCAAGCGCGTCAACTATGGTAAGGACCGCTGTGCATACATCCCCAAGTCACAGCAGGCTGCCGCGCAAGCTGCACAGGCAGCTGCCGCCCAATCGCTGGTTGCACAGTCCGCTGCAGCCACCTTGTCACCCCTCCAGGCCAATGGCGCAGGCTTCGGTTCTCCGTTGACCGCATACATGCCATTCTCACCCGATGCGCTGCAAGGCATGGCGGGTACTCAGGGTCTCAATCGAACCGTGTACCTCGGTAATATCCACCCCGAGACGACTGCTGAGGACCTGTGCAATGCCATTCGTGGTGGTGTCCTTCAGAGCTTGCGGTACATGCAGGACAAGCACATCGCTGTCAGTGCCCTTCTATTGCTGCGCTTTGCTTCTATCCGTACTCATCTCCGGCTCTCATTCATAGTTCGTGACGTTTATTGATCCCGCTGCGGCCCTCACGTTCTTCCAAGTTGCGTCCTATCAAGGCTTGACGCTGAACAACCGCCGTCTGAAGATTGGTTGGGGCAAGAACTCCGGTCCTCTCCCACCTGCCCTTGCGCTGGCAGTGCACTCGGGAGCAACCCGTAACGTCTACGTCGGGAACATCGAGGACTTCGACACATTTAACGAGGAGAAGCTGAGAAGGGATTTCGGAGAATACGGAGACATTGAGCTTGTCAACTTCTTGAAGGAGAAGTCGGTCCCTTCTCACGCATTGCCTATTGTTTGATGCTGACAGTGCGATCTCGTACGTCGCAGGAACTGCGCCTTTGTTAACTTCACGAACATTTCGAACGCGATCAAGGCGATCGACGGCGTGAAGAACAAGTCTGACTACGCCAATCTGCGCATTGCACACGGGAAGGATCGCTGCGCGAACCCACCGCGCTCTGGCCCTCAGGGGGGCGCTCGCCGCTCGAACAGCAATCACGGACCCCCGTCTGCTGGTCCCGTCAGCGCAATCGAGCCACCCATCGAGGCAGTCCGCGCAGAGCCCATGCAGCTGGATGTCGACGTCAAGCAGGAGGTCGATGTCAAGCAGGAAACCTTCGACGTCGTCGTCACACCCGTCGACGCAGCCATCGCTGCCGCCAACTAGACATCTCTTGCATACTCTCCTTCCGTTGTCGTTTCGCTCCTCATTCTCTGGATACCCGCTCTCTGCTCGCCCGTGATATATTGATCACCGTATGCCCCGCCCTCCCTCTGAACGGATCGTAGCCCGGCGCTGTTTCCTAGAAAAACGATAGTGCAAGTGGATGAAGATTAAGCTGGTGCGGTCCGCAGACCTACTCACTGGGCGCGGTCCCCGTTCGTCCCTCCGGGCGAACCGATATCCCACGTACATCCGCGGACCTTGGGCTTTGGCTGTTTCACTTGACTTTCTCTATCGCGCGTACTTTTTCTCTTCTTTCGTTTACGTATGGTACCCACCCTTCATCGTGATTGTTCTCTTCCCGGTGTTCATACGGCGGCATTCTGTCTTTGCTCGTCGCTGCCCCGTCACGCTATGGAACGATGGTTGTGAATGATCCCCCCTTTTGCACTCGATACCGGTACTATAGTTGACAGATATAACGATGGTTAATTCTGCGTGTATCTCTCCTCCTATACCATCTCTCTCTCTATAACACAAACTCGTGTGATGTGAAATCCCTGGCTGACAATTCAAGCGCTTGCATCTTCGAATCTTACAACCGAATCTTACAACCGATGACTGTTTGCGGCCGATCACTAAAACCAATGCGCATTGGGTAACAAGTACGGGGCATACGAAAGCGGTATTACAACGTGGGAATAAAGCGGTAAAGCTACATCTACAGTAGTGCGTCGAAGAGGAGACAACGTGGAAGGGGGTAAAGGGGAGGGGGGGTCATTAATTCGTAAGTTCATACGCTCGTTAACGGAAGAGGGAAGACGCCCCCAGGAAGAGAAACAAAGAGCTCATAGGAACCTGCACCAAAGCTTCTACGCAACCTGCTCGCCGGCGGGGTTTGGAGCCTTCTCCTCGCGAGCAGCCGCACCATTGTCGACATACTTGCCCGAACGGAAGCCGAGCGCGTTGTAGTCGACGTTGCGAACTTCCCAGAGGAAGATAGCAAGGAAGACGGGGCCGGTGAGGCAGTCGAGGATACCGTACCAGATCATCTCCGAGTCGACTGTGATGACGTTGCCACCCTCGGCACACGCCCAACAGATTGGGTATGTGATGAGCATGAAGGAGAAGTAGCCCGCGGCGAGGTAATAGCCGCGGCGCACGAGACCACCGTCGGCGAACGTCGTGGAGGGCGCGCGCCACAGGAGGGAGAACCAGATGTAGAACAATGCGGAGACGCCGAAAGTGTAGTAGCCCCACTTGTAGGTGCTATGCACGAGCGCTCCAACGAGCCCGGTGATGACGACGACGATGGACATGAAGAGTGTTGTCAAGACGTCGGAGAGCGGCAAGCCCGTGGTGAGTAGGCATGCGAGGAGCAGCAGCGGGAAGTTGATGAACCATTGGATGTAGCGGACATACTGGTACACAAATAAGGTGGTCAACGTCGCATGTTATGGGCAAGTCTACCGATGAAAACTTACGTAGATCTGACGAGACGGGTCGCTACCATGACCACGGAACTCGACGTCAATGGGAGTCGAGCCAAGGTCAGACGCCAAGGAGAAGTAAGTGATGCTGGAGGTAGCGAGCACGATGATGGCAATGTTGTGGAACAGACGGGTTCCCCGGGATCTCTGGAGAAAGGAGCTTTGTTCATTGACCGCCCACGCGAGATGACATTGCGATCAACACCCACCGTTATGGTCACACCTGAAACCAAGAGCAATGAAAGGGTGATGAAGGAGAACGCCGCCCAAAGCCAGTCAGAGGCTTGGGTGGTGAGGTGCTCGTCCGCAGTTGGCGGGTTGAGACTGATCGCTTTGTTGCCCATCGTTCAATCGAATCTCACGTGAACGAGTTGTAAAGCGGAGGGCGAGCCTGGAGGAAAGGAGGAACGGGGGGGATCGTGAAGGAATTGGGGGCGTGAACGAGGGCGTGATACCACTGATGAGCTCTGACCACAGCTCGCATTTTATACGCCCCGGGCTCCGGCAATGCAGCGCTGAACATGCGAGGATCCCCGAGACATGCGCGGTACGCATGGGAAGCAAGAACATCGGTGAACGACTTGGAAGGGATGAGCTCATGCGAGCCGTTCCAGTCCGGGATAGACTCCGATTGAACATCACCGCGCATGGTGATCAATTGTGATGAATGGAACATTCTGGCTCTCTCAGTCTGCCGCCCTCACTCGCCGTTCCCGCCGGGTGCAGGCAACGTTAACGTTATCAAGACTTGCACCCTCCCCCAGCCAACACATGTCGTTCTCTAGACGAGCATCATGGTCCTGGCAGCGTCAAGGGGGACGATGTGCAGGGAGTACAGAATCAGCCATCCATTCACCAATGGAAGAACGGGGACCACGCACCTGTTGCCATATGCAACAAACGCGTAGTGTTGGGCTCGTGAGTAGCCGGTTAGCGATGCTCTCGGCCGACGTTCTCTTCGCAGACGCCACTAATACGTCGAAGGAAGTCCTGTGAACGTTCACGCTGACGTTTACACGAGTCAGAACCTCCGAAGATTGATGTGAGACCGCACTAGGGCGTCACTGGAACTTTGCCTCTCGTAAGCAACGATTTATCATACTGATCGTCCGTGGCATCTCTAGTAACTGTCCGACGTCGAAAAACAATACGTACGAGGCGAAAGCAGCGCTGGCCCGCGGGCCACACCTGCAGGTATGTCAGATAGCAATGTGAGTGGGTGAACAATTGTCCCAGCGAATTACAAGCGTCGTAGGATATTGGGTGGGCCAATGGTCGGGCCGCCTCGGATGCGAGCTGACTTCTGCTGTTACACAACAAGCAGCAGGCCGAGCCATCGGACATGATGGGAGACGCAGATGCAGACCTAAGCGGACACGTGTCCACTGCTTGCTGCGTGCGCTAGCTGACTGAGGTCCGATGCTTGCTGAGAGCCGTCCGTGTCCTTCTCCTTCTCCTGATCTCGCTGTCGCTCGTCCCCTTTCGCCCCACGGCTCTCACCCTCGGTGGTCTTCGCTTTCTCAATGTCCTCCGGCTTTAGCACGCTCAAGTCTAGTTCGGGGTCTGTCTCAGGGTTCCAGTTCGCCAGCGTCAACGATAACCTCGACGGCCGCCGCTCGCGTTCCCCTCGCCTTTCTAGCCCCTCCTCTGAAGTGGACGCCGATGCCGACGGGTCGTACCGTGGCCATGACACGCGCTGCCCGTGACTCAGGTACTGCTGCAGCGACGGTGGGTAGCTAAGCGCGGGCCCTGGCGTCGTCGGGCGCGAGCTCGACGCGAGGCTCGGCCCAGGAGAAATCGCGGTGCCCATCCCTGGTAGTGGCGTAGCGCACGGCGTGGGGCTGTAGTTGCTCGTGAGCACCGACGAGTGCGAGCGCGAACCTGCCGGCTCGCCCGAGTGACTGTGACTATGTGGCGAGCTCGACGTGGACAGCATGCTTCGCGGGCGCCCAAACCGTCCGTACTGGTATGGCGGCGGTGTTGGCTCCGGTTGGGGAATAGCCGTGGGAGGCTGGGAAAATCGGCGAAGGGCGGGTGGCTTGTAGTCGTGTATAGGCGAGGATGGAATGACATCTTCTGTTTGCTGCTTGCCGAAGATACGCCGTCTGTAATGCCTGGAACATCGAGAAGCGTAGCGTGAGCGAATGTGATGAGGCACTGGTGTTGGAATGTTCTACCAGAGTGACCATATTCCTCCGACAATGGCGATGAGCCCGAAGAATCCACCCAGCAAGCCGCCCAATAACGGTCCCAACGCGCTGTTCGCACTGTCACTGCTCGAACTCGTCGTCGTCGTGGCAGCTGCATCCTGTATCGTCACACTCGACGCGGCAGACAGGTTGATAGATATGGTCGTCGCGCTGCTGACTGTGAGAGTAGAGATGTAGTCCTCTTCGCGAACGATAATACCGCGGGTATCGTCGCGCATCGTGAGCGCGGCACTGCTCAAACATGTCGCCGCTGGATGGACCTCTATTGATGGTCGCGGTGGCAGTCGTGTGAGGCTTGGTATCGAGGAGGGCTGCCCGAAGGTGTACGTCCGGGTTGATATATGCGTACAGTTTGCAGAGATGTTTTGAGCTATTCCTGCCTTCTTCAGCACGATCAGAGCTTGTGCACTACCGTCTTCATCCTCTACAATGAAAGCAATGGATCATTAGTCTTTGGTTCATGTTATCCGGAGTGTTACGTTGCGGCGTATGATCGGTATGGAATATTCGCCGGAACTGGCGCTACATTTCCACGGTATCCACCAAAGGGATATGTACACAGCTCGCACAGAGAGAGATGTGGACATGAAAGCAACTCGAGTGCATTCTAGTGGCAAGCTGCGACAAAGAGTAACAGCCAGCCCATATATTGCGCATCATTCGTCAGGCCGGGTGAATGCGATGCACCACTCGATCCACTGGCGAGGCACGCGCCTCCCAACGACTTGAAAGACATGCTACTTTCTTCAAGGACTCACCTGTAGAGACATGCACCTTTGGAGAGTGCTTTTCGACAGTCCTAAAATGCTGTGAATCCGTCAAACTTGCATCTCGTAGGCCGGTCGACGGTGTCGGTGTTGGCATGCAGCTGGAGTCGACCGCTCCCGCCTCGTCCGAGTCTATGCGTTCTTCAGCCTTCGTCGTCGCCGATAGACATGCCATGCACAGGAGGAAGAGGAAGTGCGCGAGAACAGCGAGCGACTGCGCCGGAAGACAGTGTGTGAGATTTCTAAAGCACAAGCTGATGCCAGAGCCACGACTGGGACCTCCGGAGTGCGTACGGGAAATGCTGGAGAGTGTAGAGTGTATCGTGCCTGATGCACATGTTATGGGAGGCGTACAGAGCCCGTCATGAGATAAGATGGGTGGGAGGGCTTGATGAAGGCAACGAAGAGAATTTGGCGGGACCGCTTCGTTCTCAGCCACTGCCGCACTTGCTTCCTACCAGAATCTTCGTCTCAGCCAGACTCGAGCTGAACACCGTTAGAGCTGATACCGGACACGATGTGGTGAGCATGTCGCTTGAGTGGGTGTGCGCGCCCACCCACAGCGCGATGCACGTCGTTGATACCGACCAAAGCATCCCATAGCAAACACGTCCTCAACGCGCAGGTCGCGATCCGCGCGCCATGCTGCAAGCAGTGGTTCGATTGCGCCGAGTGCCACGCCGAGACGCAGGATCACAAGCTAACGAAGACGACGGAGATGGTGTTCATGTGCAAGAAGTGCAAGAAGGCGTTTCGCAAGGACATGTCGAACTATGACGAGAGCGACGAGTACTGCCCGCATTGCGATAACCATTACGTGCGCGCTATTGTTCCATCTCTTCGTGCTGTCATGCTCAGGGATACTGCAGGTCATCGATGCGAAGATAGCGCAACCTATGCTGGCAGTGGAGGGCGATGACGCTAGAATCGACGCTCGGTGAGTTGTCCTCGCTTGGTTCAATGTCTTTTATGCTAAGCACGTTTCGCTAGCATGTTGAAGGACGAGAGGGCCAAGCAGGATCCGTCACGCTCCCTCTTCGCGCAAACCTTCACAGACCGACTCGGATGACCATTCATGCTGTTCGTCGCCTCATTGCACCGTACCTTCGATCTTGTTCCGCTATCCTTGCTATCAATCAACTTGCGATCTCAGGAGCATCGGCTTAGTCTGACAGATGTCTGGTAGGTTCTGGCGATATGTTCTCCATGCACTGCGGTCAAGCTGGGCGTATCACCGCTGAGCGCGCATCATTGAAGGGAACAGTTGGGTAGCAGCTTCGCGATGTATGATACTATGCCATGCCATCTTGCTGTTAGATATGCGAGGACAGACCCACGAATATGCACAACTCCCGTGCGTACGCATCGAAACCTATTACCATTGACGTGTGCGCCATACTGTTGCAACAAGCGACGTTGCAAGAACAGATAAAGTGAAGCATTATGACAATATATCGCACATTACAAGCGCATGAGTCGTTTTCCCTGTACATTCCATCCGTGTAAGCAACATTAATAGTCAAGGGTACCGTCGGGTAAATCTTGGAATACCCTGGAAACTGTCTCCCTGTACAAGGTCTGCCAACCACTGCCATTAGCACTGCTCCGCACAGGATCAACACAGACCAAGTACTCACCGATCGGCGATGTGAAGTTATGCACGAACGGATGCACGTTCGACGTCGCCCAATTATGCCTCGCCAAATTGCGCTCCGTGATCCCAACGACCCTCACGCCGCCCTCAATCGTCGCGCCCGAGTCTAAACGGCGATTCGGCGCGAATGTCTTGAACGTCGTCTCCGGCGGGCCCACATCTGCCTCGGGGTCGAGCGCGCTCGCTTTGATGAACGCAGGATCCGAGTCGCTCACGAGCGTCGCGTTGCGTGCGGATGTGTACTTGCCCGAGGCGACATGGAAGGTGTGCGGCGGCGCGCTCTTGTCGTGCCCTGGCGAGGTGGGCGTGAAGTACGAGGAGCGCTCGGACTGGTCGAACGTCTGGATCGTGTGCAGCTGCTGCGACTTGTCGCGCGAGGCGTTGCGCGCGTATACTTCGTTGTGGATCGAGCGCGGGAAAAATATCTGAAAGCGGTTAGCTGTCCGCTTATACGATGGGTAGTAGAGGGAGGCGTACGACGAGAGTGATGCCGGATGAGACCATGCAGCCTATCCCCGCAACGAACGCGAGGAACTCCGTGCCGAACCTGATATGATTCGTCAGTTGCGTGTCAGAGGTACATCACGCGTGCCGACGGACTCGTTGTGATTGACGCGCTCGTGCGTAGTTAGGGCGTCGATGCCTAAGATGAGCAGCGGTGCACAGAAGAGGAAACGGAAGAACACGCGGATACGCTGAACACGCAGGCGGTCAGTGCGGCTAGAACCAGAGCATCGATGCATACCCACGTTCAGCTCATTGAATGTCGTGAGACGCACGATGGTGTTGACGTCCACGCGTTGCGTCTTCTGCATGACATGGAATGATCGACGTCAGGCGGCACCCGCAGTATCTGCAACTGGACCCACCAAGCCCCGCAGGAATTTAGGGAACATGTACCTGTCAGACAGAGCATCGTGAGCCTCGCAGGGATGCTGTCTCCGGTGGCACTTACAAGACAGGCATGAACAGCACTGTCAGCAGGAGACTGCCAATGCTGCCCGCGATAAACGAATATGCTTCACTCTGTGTGTAGTCCTGAGAGTCAGACTTGAGTGCAGGTACTGTGCTACCAGACTGACCTTGAGCGGATCGTGGCGCGCGACAATGGTAATGATGGGCATGTATATGACCGCCACGATAGAACCGCCCGCCCATATCTTGAAGTACGCACTGCGAAACCAGTCCTGCTGGACAGAACTGGCATTCACGAGGAAAAGCCAGAAGCAAAGCTCTACCAGAACGGCCACCTCAGGCACAACGCACGAAACTCTGTACAAACTTGCACGAACCTTCTAGATGCGTAACCCTGCGTGCAACGCGGACACCTCAGTCACTTTCGCCGCTGCAAAGGAGAGAATACTCACATCTCCAATCCCCATGCGAACGAAAACAGCATATAGAGCGGAAAGATCCATCGCTGATCTTTCTCCGGCCACAACTCATATGGTGTCGGGATGACTGAAAGCAAGTATTCAAGACATGGTCAGAGCATCTTTACGGAACACGCACTTCCATAGAATGCGACGTCAACATAACCTTGCTTATACTTGAGGGCACAGAAGCCGACGGAATATATAACCAATAATGGTATGCTCGTCAAGTACGTGTACTGAGCCACTCGTCAGACGATGAACGGGCAGAAGGAACATCGGAGCTTACGGTCATGATCCGCTTGAATGCGCCAGAGTAGGGCCCATTATTCCAGCTATCGATAGGCGAAGAGATAAACGAGCAGCCCGGGGACGATCTCGCAATCGTGGTACGCGTACCGCAGACACCTGAACCGGTCAAACCTCCAGAGGTGAAAGAGGAGAAATGCTCCTAGCTGCGCGAGCAGCGTCAATATCCGCCAGGTGTAGTGATGTGGCGAACGCACCAGAACGGAGAGGACAGCCCAGGAAAGCAAGGTTGGCGGAGAGGTATGGCACATCGTCGACTCTGTTTAATAGCACACGGCGGATATGTACATGCACACGCTGACTGTAGGCGGACAGGCTGAAATCGAAGGGAGAGAGAGGAAAGGTGATACCGACAAGTCGGGGAGAAAAGCTTCCGTCATGGTTGCGTCCCCGTTATACTGCGTCGCGGATCTCCCTCGGCCCCTTGAGGGTTCAGGAGCACATGCACCAAGGGGCTGAAGCCATCAATCAAACGGTTGACATCAGTTGGCAAAACCAATGTGCTGGGCTGACGAGACGGTATTGGAGATGATACTCTATGTAGCCGAGCATTGGTGGCGCCTGATGCTGAGTGCGCCATATGGACGCATCGCTATATCGGGGAGCAGATTTCAGAAGTGAGGCAACATACAGTCTTCTGCTCCCGCAAAATGCCAGAGAATTTGATAGATAGATCACTAGCGGTGTGAATATGATACGTATTGAATCTGCTTCGACAACGTACGGCACTATGCTCGACAGTTATGGCAGGATGGCTGCGCACAAATCGGAACACGGCTTCGGCTTGCAAAGGTTGCGAGATCAACCCTTGGAAGGGCCATCAAAGGCTGTTTTGTAAAGGCGGAATTGGAGTGATCTTGCACAGATCGGAGGCGTTTCAGAGGCTTTGCGACAGATCATAACAAGATTTAGCAATCAGCGCTAGCAAACATATCACTGCAAAGAAAGCACCATTTTCCCATGGTAAAAAGGTATAGGAAATCTAGATATTTGTGATATCTTCATTCAATTGCTAAATCTCATCATTTCATCGGTTTATACAGGCACCATGGAGCCAATCAATGAAGAGGAAAGGCGTGAAACATACCTTTCTCATTGCCGTCTTCCAAAGACAACACCTTAGTAGGAAAGGCTTGAATTTCCGATTCAGCTACAATGCATTTCCTGTGACGAAAAATAGTCAATTCTTTGCTGTGATACGATTTATGTCATGTTCTGAAACTCGTAAATATTCAGAGTAGATGTCATGGTCAAACTGCATGAGGGAAACATTACAAATGGGAAAAGCCAGTCCGGGAAAAGCCAGTCCGATGTACTTATGTAGAGGAGTGCACGCCACCGTACACAGCTGCCGAAAGTTTCAACTTCCGGTTCAACTCCGCATTAACACGTGACCCGATCTGTCCACTGTGGCCACCCGGCTTCACCGTCAAGATAGTTGCTCAACGACAGTCAACGACTCTGAAATCAAAATGTCTCTCTCTACGCCAACGTCGGAAGACATTGAGGAGCTGTTACTATCATGCCGCTATGGTGACCTTGACGATATTCGGCAATTCATCGATGGTTTCGGTGCAGACCCAGTCAACGACGCGCGCGATGAGAACGGTAACACGGTCCTGCACATGGTCTGCGCCAACGGACATATAGGTATGTGTACCTCCCACTCGCGCTCACGAACGCCGACCCCGACCTGACAGACGAAGATATCAAACAGAAGCGCTAGAGTATCTTCTCCCGCTCGTGTCGACATCACTTCTGTCAGCACAGAACAATGCACAATCAACGCCGTTGCACTGGGCCGCGCTCAACTCGCATCTCGCCGTCGCGCAAGCATTGGTTCGGTATCCCCAGGGACCCGGCATCAGCCTGCTTGATATCAAGAACGCTGCTGGCCGGTCACCGCTGGGCGAGGCCGAGAATGTGGGCTGGGAGGAGGGTGCGAAGTGGTTCGTCGAAGTGATGAACCTTGACGAGGGTGCGAAAGACGAGGAGGTGGTCGCGGAGGGAACTGAGAACGTTGAGGTGGAGATCCAGGATGCAGAAGGACGTGTGGCCAAGATGACCCTAGGGCCTCGCTCGACAGCGCCCTCAGAAACAAAAAACGACTCTGCGCCGGCGTCGACATAGCCTAAAATTTCCCATCGTAATGCGCCCAGGTATGCTCCATGATTATCTTTGAGCCCGTAGACTTCTAATGTATTGGATAGTGATTGCTGCTGGCCTTGGCTTGGTCTCTGGATCTTGCTGCAGAACGTCTGGCATCTCCGCGATTGCACTGCAAATGTTTCATGTATCAACTAGTATACTCTTACGTCGGAACAATCTTCCTTCTCAATAAAGTTTCCTGGACAGTTGTGGCTTTCGCCATCCGCATTTCTTTTCATGTCTTGTCTTGTCTTGTAGCGTGAACTCACTCCGGCGGAATATTGATGCCGGGCATATGTTCAACATTCCACATGGATCCTTGCACGATGTTACACCTGCGTTGGTGCTGACAACGATCGTCGGTACCGTTCGCTCACGGCTGGAATTTGTCAGATGCCTGTGGCTTTGACCCTTTGCAATTTTTTTTCCATCTTCTGGCCCTGCACCGCGCAGCGTGAACTCTTCCGCGAGGTGGGCATCATGAAGACATCCAACATCGCATATCCTTTGCACAATGTCCACATTTCATTGGTGCCAACGACGATCGTCACCATTCGCTCACGGCTGGAAATTTGCACGTTCACCTCATTGAAGGTTTCCAACAAATCCAAGGAAAGAACAATGACATTGAGAAATGGTACTACAGTACAAAACACAACATTGTTTTATATAGGCATCCATCAGACATACGCTCCACTCGCTGGCAAGTGCTCGCGGAACCCAAACGGGAACGGCGGCGCACGAGCCAAACGTCCTCGAGCGACCCCAAAGGGCCGCATGTTCTCAGTATAACGAGCGAGCGCGGTTGTCATCGACTGAATGTGAAGGACGTGGCATGTGTAAACATGCGAGACTCGAGTTAGTACCTATAGAATAGATCCTAGCTGAGTATGTTCTAAGGAAACAGCCATGTCCGACGCCGCGTTATATACCGCAGAGGTTTAGGGCAGGTTGAGAAAATCTGGTCCGTGCACGCGACACGAGCGATGGCGTGATCACGCGTAAGCGCCTGTGGCTAATACGGTAAGCGCTGGGACGCGTCGGTGGCCACATTTGGGCCACCGCCACATTTGGGACGACCAGGCTGTTGTCGGCGCAAACTATGTGCTGTGTTGTCCAGAATTCAATTGGAAAAGCTTGTAGATGATTCTCGGACATAGGAGAATGGGTAGAAACATATTTGATTGGTACAATATGACGAACTTGACAATAAATATGTGATGGTGATCAGAGTTTGTGAGGACATACACGGCACGGGTCGATCATAACAAATGCTGGTAGTACAGACATTGGAACACCTATCGATACATCTCAACGCATGATGGGGAGCCACAACAGTACCATCCGCCGTTAACATAGAGTAAATGCAGTCCAGAAATAGATGAGAGTTCAGATCAGTAAGGGCAATTTGCATGGAAGATAGATACTTGAGAGAATGCATCAGTCGACGTCCGTTGCTCTGAGCTGCTGCGCGAGCTGCTTCGAGCGGCGAATCTCCTCGCGCATCGTTCTACGCAGTGCACGGCCCTCGAGCCACGCATTGCGGAACTCGAGACGCCGCGTGCGCTCCGCCTCCATCTCAAAGCATGCCGCAAGGTGTTCCGCCGTGTATCGCACTCGAAGCCTCAAAAGCTGCAGCTTCTCACGCGAAAGCTGTCCGAGCAGAGGTTACCCGACAGTCCCACATCAGACCAACGGCGGTCACGCACCTCCAGTCTCCGGACGATATCCGAAAACTTCGTCCAGAATGCTCTGAGCTTGTCCACGTAGTCCGCCAGCCGATGAATTCGCGGCGGACGCCGGCGCATCTGATCCGTAAACATATAGAACGTGTTCAGGTTCCTGTGCAAAATATAAATGCATGAGTCGCTCAATCAAATGGAAGTCTAGCGCAGGGGTATCCCACCGCTTCAGAGAAGACACGATCTGCCAATGCTTATCGAACCAGGCCCGCAAGTCCTGCGACTCCCCGACGCCCTGTTCCTCAGGCGTCTTCCCCAGCTCTTCCTGAATCGCATCCAACACCGATTCAAGGGATGCGCACAGGTTTCTGATCGCCTGTGGGTCCTTCAGGAGGCTGCACGAGCAGAGCGACTAGGTGCCCGGGTTCATACACTAGCTGGTGCTCTTCGTATGGACGACACTTACCATGGCAGCTGCGCGAACCGCATCGCGGCTCTCCTGTGCGCGCTCGATGAGGCCACCCACAGCAAGCGCCTCGCGGAGGTTCGTCTGCGCCTGCAGCGGAGACTGACTGTCATCGTCTTCGTCCGGCCACATGAACTCGGTAGGCGAAGGCGGGAGCGGCACGAACGGCGCACGGGGCATCGGCGGAGGGCCGGCGCCGTCGTACTCATCCAGCGCCAGTACCTCTGAGTACGTGGGCGGCTCTTCCACGCGCGTGACTGCAGAATGGAGCGCGTCCTGCGACCCGCCCCTGGTCGAGCGGAGGACAACCGGAATCGCAGGCGATGCCGTTAGCGGCGTTCTGCGAACGCGAGGCATGAGAGGAGTCAGCGGATGAGATGTAGCACGGGAGACTTGCCTGCGCCACTGGAGGATCTCATAGGACGAAAGCGACGTGCCCGGGCGGCCCTCGGACGAGTCGACGCTCGTCATCGTGGTCGGCGAGACCGAAACGTAACGCGACGCGGAGAAGACACGTGCAGGCGACGCCGCGAAGGAGAAGCGCGTGAGGTCGGATGACGCGCTGTCGTCGGTGGTTGTTGACGGACGCATCAGTGCAGATGAAGGAACAGACAGAGGGGAGAGGGGGAGTGGAGGAGGGGCGAGCTTGCGCAGCCGGCTTGAGAGAGTAAGAGGGGGCGGGAACGGCGCACCGGTCTGGCTTCTCGTTTCATATATGAGCCCCAATGCGTCACCGGCGGCGTCCCCTGCCCCGACGCCCTCCGCACACCGATCGCGACCCGGAGAATCCAGCTGATCATGCGGAGAATGCGGGCGTGTTCGACGCCAATCACGCCAAGGCAATTGAGAGGCCTTCAGGGGTGCCACGGCGAAATGTGAATCAAAGACAGATGGAACGGTGGAACGCCTGGTGGTGAGCATTCTCGCGGTGACGAGAGTGTTTCTTTTAGCATGTGCAGCGGCGGCTTGGTCTAGAAGACGGCTGTATAGCTCCATGGACCCGGAACGAACGCGCGTACCGGCGGACAGTCTTGAGGAATCGTGCTGCAGATCGAGGATGTCTTCGATTGGCTTCGGCGATTCGCATAGCGATCTCTCCTCAGAAGTGGACGTGGTCGCAGTCAAGAAGGAGCGACTGGGTAGCTGGAAGAGCCCGAGCCCCCGAACAAGGCTCGTCTCGCGGGCCGCAGCGCTGAAGGGTGAAGACGGTGCCCGAGTTAGCACGATGGGGGATGCGAGGGGCTGGCCTGCCATTGGACGATTTCTATACGTGGACAGCTGCAGACCCGAGAACGACAAAGGCGGAACTGCTCGAAGGACTGAGGATAGGCGCGCAGCGCGGATGCCCGCAGCACAAGAAGATCGCCGGCATATAAAGCGCTATGTGGGTCCAAGGCGGTCCACTTCGAGCTAAGTACCCCTGGAATGGACAATAAGGATGCCACTAGAAGCGACAGACATCAGGACAGCGATATGCCCCGACGACGAAGTACAATACCGTCGCTAGTGCCCGAGCACTGAGCGCCCTAGCGGGCGCTTATATGGTGTGGTTTCGGTCGTCGTGCTCAGTCTTGTTCCACAACCTGCACAGCCCGCTAGGTGCTAGTCGTGGTCCAGATGATGTATTTTAGATCAGGATATGATATGACGCGAGACCGCAATCAACAGAGATCACCCGTGCACTTCTGTCTCATATCCGAAAAAGATGCCAAAACGTTGATGAGACACTTGACAGGCGATTCCCAGCACACAGAGGACGTACTGATTTCACGAGTCAACTTTTACAAGGGAGTAACCAAACGGCCGTGCGGTAAGGCAACACGTTGGAAGCGGAGTGGTCCGCGGGTTGACAGGATTGGCGACCCGCTGCCTCTTGCCATACTAAGCCCAAAGAACGCCACGATTTCGCCTTTGAGGATTGCAGCCAGGCACTTAGCCGCAGGCGAAAGGAGCTAAATGAAGGTCCTTGTATGCGTGCCGTGGGTCCAATGACAGCAAAATGAAACAGTGCACCAGGCGACATCGGCATTGCCTTTCGTGCAGAACGGTGCCAGCAGAGAATCACCTAGACACCATTTCTATAAAAAAAATTGTTGCTCTTCACGTAGCCTCGTTTGAACGATAAAGAACTGGACATTCTGGATGGCAATTACAATACAGGCAACGAGGCAACGCGTGCCTAAAACGGATAGCTCAGTCGTATAGCAACGATAATGCGAAATGTGTTTGACTTACCGACGGCCAAGAGAAAGTGCAAAAGAAAGAAAAGAAACAAGTGATCACCGCGAACGCAGCGACAGCCTGGCCTTGTTACAGTCCACTCCGACAGGCCAGCAGCAATCTTATAAACAGAGCCTCGAGCAGGTGTGATGAAGAGCTTCTGCTGAACCTGGCAAATCCCGACTTCTTAACAGCCAGAACAGAGAGGATGAAACGATGCGAGGATGGTGCTTAAAAGTCTTGTTAGCAGCAGAGATCAACGAGGTGGTTCAAACTCAGAGTTCCCACGGTAACAACTTGATCGTACAAATTTCGTACGTCTGCCTACTACTATAGCTTAGTCTGTTTCGTTCAACGTTCGAACTTCTTCAACATTTATCAAACGTCTTCTCCTTGAATGCGAAGGCACCGTTACGATATGTAGCGCTCTACCATCTCTGGCACGACTTCCTTGATCGTCCGCGGCCTGTCCATCTCAAACTCGAGTCTTGCAACTGGAAGGAGGACGCTTGAGCAACTTCAATCTGGTACGCGGTCGAGTATACTCTGGCCTACGTTTCAACGCAAATTGACAAATATTGTGGCTAGCATTTATCATCGTGGCTCACCCGCAGGCCTCATGAGAACCCAGTCGCTGAACGCAAGAGCGATTCTAACTTTGGTCGACGAGCAGCCATTATTGAGGCCGTTTGGCAACGTTGCATCGGCTTGATTTAGAGGAGGCTTTGTATGTAAGACTTCTGTTGCTGCCGAGCGCCCGCCGTTATAAAAGCTATCCATATAAAAGCTATCCATCTCAAGTCATGCGAACGCATCCGAAATTTAGTACATTTCATGTAGTTTGCTGACAAAATATGAACAAGCCAGTGCCCCAGCTGGACTACAGCAAGTCTGAAGAGGTAAAGAATGCACTCTGCGTTCTGCGGCTTCCGACTCCGCAGGACACGATACTTTCAATGGCGTTGCTTTAAGGTTGGTAATTGACGCTACGACACGCATATTCCTCGTGGTCCGGTCCTCGCGTTGTTCTCGCATCATATAGATTGTTCATCAGACCACCTTTGTAGACGGCCGTGCGGTCTGAAGCAACATGGTGATTGTCGCTCTCAAACATTACTTCGCATGTCCAAGTGCTGAAGTTTCTCCGACATACTCTGGATGATAGATGTGGGATTTAGACTTTAATCGACAGAAGATAATCAGATATGTGGTAAGCTGTCCTCTGGATTCACGCATAGCCAACGAGGCAACATCCGTCCGGGTCTACTTATCTCGCGCGTCTCGATACCTCCACATCAGCATGCAGTTCTCGGCTACAATATCGATAAGTAAAAGCACCTTCTCGTCCACCTTCTTAGAATTGACAACGACGTCGATTCATCTGCCACACAGCTGCAGAAGGTCGCTCAAGCATGTGCCAATCTGCTTCCTACCCGGGTCGAGGCCTTGTCGTGCCGTAAGTTGCTCAGCAGGAATTTGGAAGGCGATTCTGCCCCTCGAGTTGAAGGTGTCCGACAGCTGCACCAAAACAGCGTGAAGTTAGCCACATACGGTCGGAACAATAGATTATCTGCATGATCATCCATCCCAGGACATCCCTCGTGCCTTTCGCTTGCATCGCCTGATGCATGCACTTTGTGATATATGAAGGAGTGAGTCATCGCACTACAATATCTTAATTTGATGACCACAGTCCTGTCAGCGCAATATTCTGCTCATTTGGATCTCGTACAGAACGCTCACAAAACGAGCATCATGCAGCCCTACGCCCACGAGCCTAATTTCCCAGTCACTAGTCCCTCGGGACATCCTCACCCTCTTCCAAGTGGAATCCCGGACACCACTTCGGTCCCTCTCGCATCCTCATCATCCATATCTTCATCGTCTGTCACATGCTCTCCATTTTTCAGTCGCAAAAGAGGGGTGCAGGCAGCCGCGAAACGCCGAGATGCATTTCTTGCACGGCTGAGACGTGCAAAAGCCATTGTATCTAAGTTGTTTCATCGCTTGTTACCGAAACCACCAGCGAAACCGTCCGCGAAAGAGGCTCAGATAGGCAAAGAGCCTGTATCCCCTACCGTCCCACAGTCGGACTCGGGCGTGGATCATTTTCCAGTCGAAAACAGTTCCACGGTACCCAGCTCGAATACACTTACCGATACTTCATACCAACCTACGTCGACGCAGACAAATGTAGATCTGCTGGAATCGTAAGTGCTGCGATTAAATAAGGGTCAATTAGCCACTGAGACTGGTTTAAGGAAAGAGGCTCAGATAGGCAAAGAGACTGTATCCCCTACCGTCTCACAGTCGGACTCGGGCGTGGACCATTCTCCTGTCGAGAAAAGCCCCACAGTATCCGGCCCGAATACACTTACAGATACTTCATACCAACCTACGTCGACGCAGACCAAGAACTCCGGAACGCAGACATTCGCGTTAATCATCGCAATTGATGACTACAAAGGACGTCCCCTCCGAGGATGCGTCAACGACGGCGAGGCTATGTACCAGTATTTGCGTACCAAACTGTCCGTCCCCTCCTCGAACACCCTATTTTTGAAAAATGGGCAGGCAACTGCAGGTGCCATAGAACGTGGGTTTCGAGAGCACCTCATCATGAATCCACGCATTCAAACCGATGACCTCATCCTCTTTTTCTTTGCTGGCCATGGTACGAGTGAATATGCCCACACAGACTGGCCGGAGGAGTACCGAGGTGACATGGAATGTATATGCCCTCAAGATATGGATTTCACCGCCGTTCATGGCATACCTTCCATCAAGTTGAATGCGTGGTTCGCAGAGTTGGCTAGCAGAAAAGGACAGAACGTCGTGCGTATTTTCTAATTGGGCAATAAAGAGGGGTTCGTTGAAGATTCACGTGTGCTCTCCGATAGGTCGCGATTTTCGATTGCTGTCACTCGGGTAAAATGTCTCGCAATATGATCCCATCGCCTGCACATCGTCTCTATTTGCCTCCTGATCATGCCAAACTCCCCTTCACTCTCGACTCCGATTCACTTAAATGGGTATCCGAAGAATCCTCGAGGAAAGCAGGAGCGATCAGACCTACATGTTTTGCATACGATGCATTAGCATCACACATCCTTCTTAGTGCCTGCAAGCAGGATGAACTGGCACAAGAGACAATGGTGGAGGATGCATCAGGTTATGAGGGTCGTAACATACCTGCGGAAAGAGCGGTCGAAATACCTAAGACAAAAGCACTACCACAGGAAGCATTGGATAAGCCACGTTCTATCTACCGCGGTCATTTTAGCAAGGTCCTCATCGACAAACTATGCAGCATTCAGCCAGGCAGTCCATCAGAGAGCACTTATCGGGAGTTGATTGACACTTTGCATCCACTATCGGGCAGCCAGCATCCACAATGCGGGGGAGCCAATCAGCACCGCATTGTGTGGAGCGTATTCTCACGAGACGATGCCACTTGCGGTTATGACATCGAGGTCGCTCCCGAGGCAGACCAGTTGATTGTGGCTGCAGGAAAGATTGTTGGCGTCAGGGAAGGCATGAAGTTCGATATCGATCCAGGAGACGGCTCAAAGGCCTTGCAAGGTTTCAAGATCACCGAAGTCAGGCAGCTGCAGTCCGTATCCGACGCTTGCGCGTCCGCTCAATATTCGATGGATTACATTCGAGACAAGGTCACTAGAAGGGCTCGAGCGGTGTTCATAGCATGGAAGCTCACACGATTGAATGTATTCTGTGAAAAGCAAGCCGAGGAAATTCTAGGGGAAGATCAAGCATTCTTGCGCGAGCAAACCATCTCCTTGATGAAAAAATCAGCGGCCGATATCGGTATCGACTACGATACGGGAAGCAAGCGGTGGATTTTGGAACGACTGGCTCCCCGTATGAGCAAATACGCAAAGCAAAAAACTCCTTTCAACGCCGCAGCCGGGGAGCTATGGAAGATTTGCCGAAGTATTGCCCGGTTCAACCATCACTTGTTGCCGTCGATTACACCGCTTTCGAATATTACGCTCGAGCTGCATCACCTGAAGCGAGTAGACGGTCCATTCGGAACCTACTTCGACTCAGAAAGGAAGATTGAACTCGATCGTCGACATGAAGAGCAAGTATTGGGGGAATTCGTCGTGTATGAAGATGAATTCTCATCGGACGAGTCATACTACGGAGTCAACATCACAAATAACACGAATTACGACCTTTTCCCGTATTTATTCTATTTCGATCCAAACGATTACTCTATCACAGTGAGTTCCATTCAATCAGGGGAAGTTGGTCTAATCGTCCGCCAGCAATTCTATCTTTCCGAGGAAAAAATGGACCCCCCGCTCAAGAGGCACAGTTCGTTCCAAATCGGCTACGGAAAGCGGTGGACGTCGCGCGATGCCATTCAACTCACGTTGACAGATGGCATGTCGGAATCCGCGTTCTTGAAGCTGTACGTTTCGACAGTATGGGTAAAAATGGATGATCTTCCACAGCATTCGCCTCTATCCTCGATCGGGCGCGGTGCACAGGTAGTCAAGCTGCCGGTTGAGGAGATGTGGGGTGCCTGCAGTTATGTTCTCACTACGTGTCAGAACAAACTGGCAAAATTATGAGAGAACCGCTGTGAGTAAGCTGGTCTGTTGCCCTTCTTGAAGCTCGATTGATTCACCCGATATCATTCAGGAAGATTGGGTCCATTATTGTGGTGCAGACACTTCCAGTGTTCAAGCGCGGTTGGTTGAAGATCTTGACTGCTGCTGTGTGTAATGATATGCGAAGGAACGATGCAGCACTGGCTCGAAAGAAATATTTCTCCACAATCGATTTGCAGTCCAGTTGGCAGTCACTGACGAAGCCGTTGAATTGTGGAAGTCGTGTGACTGGGCCCAGCAGTGACAATTGCGCTGCATATACTAACCGCCCAATCAGTAATGCGACAGGGACCACAGTGCAGGCAGTCCGTGCTCGAAGAAATATATGGAAAACAAGCTGTCATCTATCATGATGTGGATTCGATGCCATCCGAGCCACACTGGCTGCTGCGCCACCTTGAGCGTCACACAGTATGACAGTAGTTCACGTGATGAGTGACGCGTGAAGCACTCTCGCGTGACACGACGCGGTTCTCCTCGAACATTTTACGACAAGGTTCTCTGGGATCAGTGTGAGCACCACGCAGGTCGTTCCCTCTCGATGCTGCATGGCCAACTCTTTGTGGATCAGTGTGGATCGCAATGAGACAGCAGCTCTAACTGGCTCAATAGTTGCTTGTTCATTCTAATTTATGCATCATGAGTCCAGTGCAAAGTGCGTCACCTTGTCAAAGTTGTCGAGCACAGACAAGCCATCCAAGCATGCTTCCATGGGGCCTCTAGACATCGGTGTGGCCTGTTGTCCATGCTATTGACAGAATACGTAACATATCAAGAATCACCAGCAATCTTCTGGGTTCCTGTCCTGATTTCAGCTGGCTTGTGCTCATTGCTGGCGATCTCTGTCTCGACGGATGCTATCTTCGAGACGAAGCATGCTTTGCCATCATCCTACTTCGTACGTCACATCTCAGCAGGCCTTCCCTCCCCGTGCACGATCTTAGGGCTCGATCGACACCGTCAGAGAAGCTGTCTGACGTCGAGGATGCAATCTTCAGTCATGACTCGACATGTCGCACGGACAAGTGCTGCTCCATGTCAAGAGGAGGACACGTTGAACATACCAGTGCCCCTCTAGGCTGCTAGCGTGCGCGAAGCTAATCAACGCGATCTGCCACCTCCCGCCTGGCACTCCACCTTCCCTGTACTTTTGTGCCCAGGACATGTCGATGGGACGTAACAAGGGTCTCGGTACTCGAATCCGCGCGCTTCCCTGGGTGTGGTGCTCAGAGTTGAAGGCGGCGAGATTGCCTTACGTGGGTGCCATCAGCAAGGTCAGAACTTTCTCTGATCTGCCTGTCAAACCCAATCGCGTAAGCTTAGTGCGCGAAGGCCAGTTTCCGACATCGCAATTTCGTACAGACTGCAGCCGTCGAGGTTCGACTGGTGCGACATCTTCTTCCTCGTCACAATCACTCTTCTGTCTACTCCACTCATTCTAGACTCCAACGTTCTGGATTATCAAACTGTCAGACTGACTGCGCTCAGATTGTGCATCTGGTTCCTGTCCCTGGTGGCGCTTGTCGAAGAGTTCTGGCCAATGCACGTATGTTTCACTGTTACAGATCGCAACTTTCAGTGTCAAGCCGTCAAGAGGAGGAATCGGATCTTGACCCGAGAGCTCCGCTGATGCTTGCGTTGAGGTTTCATGGGGAGCAACCCCCGGACTAACACCGATATTTCCTGTTCATGAGGTGCCAGGTCGTGGGTTTTCTTCATCGCCGGATTTCGAATATGCACAGAATGCCTCCTGTTTTTAGCTTCAAGCGCAAAGTTGTAATGATAGAAGTCGCTGAAACTCGTAGCACCTCGATCGAGGCACAGCATCGTCCTGGAGTGGCTCCTTTAGGCGTGTCGTGATGATCATTTGATGTGTCGGAGTCTCCTCTGGTGAGCTGGCCATATGGTAGTACTATCCAAATACACCTCCTTATTCGTGTGCAAAACGCACAGGATTCGCACCGAGCCCAAAATAGTACACCAGCCTCGGCAGGCAGACCTACGAAATGCGAGCGTGGGATAGTTCGACATGACAGACTCCTTTCTATCTGCATAGTCTGCGCTAGGCGGTCCACTCCTCCAGACGAGCACGCATGCCGGTTTCATATCATGCTCCAGCCTCCTACTGTTGCTCTCGGTTTCTTCTGCGGGTTGACATGGCCGCATCCGCAACCACTCACCCACCAATGCCGATTTCCCCGAGCCCGAGAGATGCGGATTGACACGGCAGCCCCAGGCCTTCCGAGCCAAAGTCTCCGTAGGTTAGCTTGGAATCCAGGTGCTAGTCTCGAGCTTGAGCTTGTACCCTCGTCCTTCGTCTATCTCTGGACATCATGCATGATGCATTCGGCTCCTGGCATGAAAACACAGTCGCCCATGGTTCTGCATGCGGCGGCCCCACGTGGATGTGACTTGGGCTCAGGAAACGCTAGCCCGAAAGCGCAGCGTAGCCTCCAGGCGCCGTGCCCGACGTCAACTACCTCCGCGTCCATGTCCTCGCTGACAGCATCGCGTGGCGATCCTGGGCGCGCATCAGGAATTCGCGCCGCGACGATCTTCCAGCAAGCATTATGTCCAGTCTTTGACATTCTGCGCGCGATCCGCATGCCCAACCAGGAGGGAAGTTCACGCGGAAAAAGAGGCAGGCGGGCCGCGCGAAGCTCTCCCGCCGGCAGTCCCATCTGATGCTCGTCAACAGCTCGCAAGTTATGTGCGATTGTGCGGGCTTCTGTTCGGCTCGCGTGCGCAAGAGATGCATGTTCCGGCTCCGTCTCTCGATACGCGCGTTCGCGGCAGAAGCATGTGCGGAGCGGAGGGCTACTGGTGCGCTATCAGTGATCCGTCGCTCGCTGAACGACGAGTTGCGGATACGCGCGAAAATTCCCCTGCTTTCGGTGGAGACGAGTCCTGCGCGGACCCGGAGTTCCGTGGTGGTGGGATGGAGTTTGACAAGGAGGTAGCAGGGCGGAGAAAGGATGCGCTGAGTCGGTGTTCCGGGCGCAAGGACTTCTTGCCCGAGAATGAGTCAGCGACCCAGTCTTCCGCTCATCGATCATCGCACCGACTGACCTCCAATGAAACCTCAAACTTCAGTCATCCTGCTATCTCTTGTCCTTGCATCGAAGGGTATGCATGATCAATGGACTCGCGTCTAAGCTGGTACTCTCCTTGTCCCAGGCTTCTGAGCTACCTGGATACAAATTCTTCCTGCCCAGTTCTTCGCAATCCTGTGAAGTTGCTTCTGAGTTGTGCAGTGTCTTCCGTGCTTCGATGGACTTGTTCTGTCTTATACGTATCCTTGGGAATGTCATGCAAAGTTGAAGGTTGTCTCGATGGTGTCTGCGCCAACGAATGGAGCTCCTGTACTCACATATTGAGGCTATGCTTTGTTCGGGAAGACAAATGTTGCTATGTTTGCTAGCAGCTTCCCTGTCGTGAATAGACGATGACGAATAAGCAACACTTGATGGCATATTTGCATGATTGTGCATGTCCATCGACGTGGCCCTGACTCACGAAGCAGTGAACAAGGATTGTCTGACATATCGACGGTATCTGACATTTCATGTTCAAGAGCACGTAAACGGACGTTCTCATCGCATTTACTATTCGAGGAAATTGGAGTAACGAATGCACATTGGAGGAACAACACCAGCACTCGACGCCATCAGTCTCTTCCTAGGACAACACAGAGTTTGCCGTCGAATTGCCTCCGGAGGCTAGAGACGGCATCTTGTTCTCCTAATAGCATGAGAAAGAGAATCCTGCTGGGGACGCTCCGCTGTTGTGCGAAGATCTCCAGCGATCAGTGACTAACCTCGCACTAGATGCGCAAACCTGCGGTGGAGCACTGCACAGCGTCTTATTCGGGACTATCATCGACGCTCTGAGCGGAAGCGCATGGGTTGAGCCCAGATCCAAGGCGATCTGCTCATCAAACAGCAAACAAGAGGATCTCCGCAATGCCAGCCTCCGAGTATGGGAGACTCCCTCCGGATGACAGCAGTAATTAGGGACGTTGTCTCTCCAACTCGCAGTCGCCCGCATTCCGTCCGGCGTATCCTCCCATCACCCGCAGTTCGTACGCAATCAGCGCAAGCGACACAGGAAAGGCAGACGAAGCTGTTGTTTAGCAGCATCCTTGCATAAAGCGGAGGAAGGGGAAGTAGATTGACGCGCCGGAAGTAAATTAAATGAATTCATAGACGAATTTCGAGCTAAATGAAATCGCGGAGGATGCCGTTAATGTCCCGTTTTGGGAGATTTCTGCGACGCCACAAACTGCCAAATCCGGGGAAAAGACAGGATCCCGGCAGCAAGTCAACCTCCACCCACCGACAGACATGGATATTTTCCCCAATTCTCCTTCTCTCTCCGTCTCTTGCTCGAGTCTCCGAACCTGTCTGATGAGCGCTGGCTAGTCTGTTCTTGTCTTGGACTGTCCGGATCTGAGAATATCTCCCGGGAACTGGCTGTCTGCGTATATATACTGGTGGGCATCTCTGGTCTCAGGCAGCACACACCGCAAGGTCTTCAACACAAAAGTCCTCTCATCTTACATACTCTAGCACTATGGGCAACGGACACTCCTCTTCGCTCGACATGTATGCTCGCGACGGCGCAAGCAGCATGCATCTCAAGCCTCCAGTGGTCTCGCGGAAACGATCTTCAGCCAAACTCTCTGCTTTGACTCTTGGCTGCACCTCTGCTGGCTCGTTCGACAACTACTCCGACCATTATCACGACCATGGCTCAAGCACAGCAGCTAGCGACCGCGACATCAACGAGAAACGTGACCGGATCCCAGAACTACACGAGAAACGAAGCTTTGATCCGCCTCCGCTCTATGCATACTCGACTTCCGCCATCGACATCCTCGAAGACTGCGCGTCGTCAGCATACAAGGCATTTCTCAAGGAGTACCCCGAGTACCAGCTCACATGGATGCTTGACGCACTCCGAAGGAGCGATTTCTCGAGACTTGATCGCAACGGGGAGACATACGTCGACTACATGGGCGGCTCTCTCTACCCTGAGAGCCTGATCCGCGTCCACACTGGCTTCCTGCATCGCAACATTCTTGGAAACACGCACTCCGTTAGTAACTCGTAAGTGTCAGCCTCCCTCCCTTCATTCTCAGATGTTGGCACGGACATGCAATATTCCCTAATATGGAGGCGGCGGATGCACGTCCTCCGCTTCACCGTATACATGCACGCATACAGCCGGCGTATCCGCATGGTGCTGCATGCGCCACACGTTCTCCATAATCTCTCGCGTCACTGCCGGCCTGTGCTGACTAGCCGCTATCTCTCGTAGGTCAAAATTGTCCTCAGCATGTGCAAACGAAGCACGCGAGGCTGTTCTCTCGTTCTTCCGCGCACCACCAGGATACACCGTTGTCTTTACCGCAAATGCCACCGGAGCTCTCAAGCTCATTGGCGAATCCTTCCCGTTCAGCGAGGACAGTTGCTTCGTGCTCGGAGCGGACTCGCACAACAGCGTTCATGGCATCCGGCAGTTTGCCTTGCAACGAGGAGCGCAGATCTGCTACATCGACTCGACTGACCATGGAGGCCTCGAAGTTTCTGAAGCTAAGGTAATAACACGCTTTTGGCTGGGTTTACTTTTGATTTACATTTATTGCACAGTCGGTCCTCTCCCGGAATCGGCCAAAGAACAAGCACGCATCTCCCTGTCTCTTCGCCCTCACCGGCCAATCGAACATCTCCAATTCCAAAAACTCGCTCTCGCTCATCAAATATGCGTCCTCGCAGGGCTACTACACATTGCTCGACGCAGCCGCCCTCGCGCCCACGTCGGTGATCTCACTCGCGGAGACGCCAGTGGATGCGATGGCGATCAGCTTCTATAAGATGTTCGGATTCCCGACAGGTGTGGGTGCGCTCGTGGTAAAGGAGGAGTTCCTCGCGCGGCTCGAGCGGCCATGGTTCGCGGGTGGGACGGTGGACGTCGTGCAAGCACCGGGCACGATCGTCACGATGACGTCGGAACTGCACGAGCGATTTGAGGTGTGTGCTCCCTGTTCAGTGTTTGTGTTCTCGACGCTGACGCCACGCCACAGGATGGGACGATCAACTATCTTAACCTGCCCGCAATCACGGATGGCCTGCGGTTCTTGTCGGCGTATCTGCCTTTCCTGCCGCTACGGCTATCGACGCTCATGCACTACCTCGTCGACTCGCTCTCCGCGCTCACGCACGACACAGAGGGCACGCCTGTCGTACGCATCCTCTCGCGAACACCGACACGGCGGCTCAAAGCCGTCGGCGAGCAGTCGGACACGGGCTCCGTCGTATCGCTCATCTTCCTCTTCGTGAGTCATTCTCGTCAGTCTTGTTAGTGCTGCTGCTGACTCAGTCTCCAGCCATACGGCGCGATGATGCCAAACACTTTCATCGAGTACGCGGCATCAAGCCAGAATGTCTCCCTGCGGACAGGGTGCATGTGCAACCCTGGAGGCGCGGCGGCGATCCTCGGGCTACGAGACGCGATGGCGGCGCTACCGACGGATGTGACGCTCTCAGCGTTCGAACAGCACATGGGCCACGAGCTCGGTGTCGTGCGCATCAGCCTCGGACTCGCAAGCGACTTCCGGGACGTCTGGCGCGTCGTGCGCTTTGCAGAGATGATGGCGAGCTCGACTGCGCGTGCCGGACTCTGGGAGCAGTGGCTCGGGGCCAAGGGCGAGAGCCACTAAGTGAGCGGCGAGCAGTGGGACGACATCATGCACACACGAACTATCGGACGGACGGACGGACGGATGGATGAAAAGCCTATGTTTATTCTGGCTGGATTTGTATTCCTATGTGTACTCTGCATGTATCTTGCGCTGCGTGTATTGTCCCCCTTTACTTTACTGTATCATCAGCTAGTGGCATAGAATTCAGTTCTACCAAACTGTGCAATGTGTGCAAGGGCGTCTTTTTCCCACTTGTGCCCGGAATCTGAAAGGTAACTCGGTGCTCAAACTGCTTACACTTCTTCGCTTACGTTCATCTTCCGAGTGAGAGGGTACACTAGGGTACACTAGGGTACACGAGGAAAGATGGCACCTTCCACGAAAGTGTTCTTTTCCGAAGTCCATCCGGATACCCTAAGGGCAACGATCAGAAAGACGAGAAGCGGTGTGCCTGTAAATATTGGCAGGAAGCATCACGGCCATTTATCTGGTCAATAAAGTTGCACAGCATAGCACAGCAATATCTTCCAGCGGCGAGAAAGCGCGGCGATACGTAACTGTCAGCTACCCATTCTCAGGAAGACTTCGTCAGCCAGCGCGAAGCTTGGGAACAAGCATGCCTAGTAATATGCTAGGTACAAGGTATCCGAGGAGGCCAGTCATCTGCTGGCATGTTAAGCGAGCTCACCCAGCCGTGTCTCTTACAGTGAGACGCACACTCTGCGAGATAGGGAAAGCATTGCATATGTATACTAAGGCCGAGAATGGATGAGGAGTCCCGTGGAAAGGTAAGATAATATGGTGTGCGATGCATTACTGTCGCGTGATGGGGGCGTCAACAGCTACAACAGGGTAACAGATGCACGACAAACCTTAATAAACTTCGCCATGAACTTCCTGTGATGGGGAGGACAAGAATTTGAAGAAATGTCGCAGTCAACAACAGGATAAGGGACAGCCTAGGATAAAATTGCCACGCACTTGTGAAACTCTGTACGCAGCAGGTCGTTCACGAACTGCCCTGAGCGCTTTTCCTTGTCCCGCGCATTCATTGCCTGATTCTTGAATATCAGGTCTACCCGGACGCACGGAAGACGGTCAGTAAAACATGCTAACAGATATGACTATACACGTACCGTCGTCCCACCGCCGCTTTACCGCGAACGTCCCCGGCACCGTTGTATTTACACCGGTTGGATTCTGCCCGAGTGCTGCAGCAAGGTTCAGCAGCGGGTTCGCGGTGGCGATCTCTGCATCGCGAGCGGCAGCTGCAGATGCAGACTGCTCGTGCTCCTGCCGTGCTTTCTCCTCTGCTCTCTCACGTTTGATCTTTTCGAGTTCTCGCATCAGCTCTGCGGCATCGTCCTCCTCGTCCTCGTCACTCTCGTCTCTGCAATTGAAGGAGAGGTTGGAGTATGTTCAGTCAGGAGGATGATGCATGCAATGAGACGGCATACGTACTCCTCTTCCTCCTCCTCCTCTTCATCCTCCCTCTCTCCTTTCTCACTCTTCTCCTCGTCTTCATCGTCTTTATCCAGCTCAATTGCTTCCTGCAGCAGTTTCCTCCGTTTATTCGCTTCATCTTCCTCCCCATGCCCGTTTTCCACTGCAAGCGGGGGCTTTCCTTCTGCCTTACGTTTCTTGTCGCGCGCCTCCGCCTCTGCAGCTAACAGGTCCGCTCTCAAATCACGTTTAGCAACCTCAGCCATTGACGTCTGACCCGGTTGACTGCAGATGAACGATGTAGACCAGTGAAGATCAAGTATAGGAACGAAAGAATGATTGACTTGCCGGAATTTGAGCTTGGTATGCGCAGCCATGTCCCGCACAGAGAACTGGCGGGACCCTCCCTTCACATCCTTGGCTTGCGCCGGATCCCATGTCGGTCTGTGTGCTGTGGACATTGTTCGTCGATGGTGATGGTGAGCAGGTGAGAGCGGTGGCTGAAACGAACGAAGTGATGGTCAACTAATACTGCCAGATAACTCGTCGATAACCTCTTTATCAATGCAAATAAGCGCTTAACTAATCTAAACTGAAACACGTCGTCGTACATGTCCACTACTGCGAACACGGTTCAGATCCACTTGGTCTCTACAGCTATAGATTCACGAAGGACTGGCTGAAATAAGCTTTGCATTCTGCTCGGTCTGCAGCCGTATACGAGGAACTTCGGTGTCCAGCCGCGGCCCGAAGGCAACTGTGAGTATTGAAGTGCGCCGTGCAGCGGTAGACGAGATTCTGAGCTTCGGAATGATGTTCATCGCATACAGAGATATTTCGTGAACGTACTACTGGAGTTTGTGCTAGTCTCTGACGGATGTCCATGGAATTCCTCTCGCAAACGTACATCGCCCTTCGTGGGCCTACTGGCGCCCCACAATCTCCTGCGGATACCATCGCTCGGCTATCCGACCGGCTATCACCTTCCACCCTCCTTGCAGATCGTCGTGCTGCTGTTCTCTCTCTTAAAGGTCTCTCTCGCGACCACAAAGCAGACGTAGGCGAGCGCGCGCTCCAGGGATTGCTCGACGTACTCCAGAACGATGCCGAGATCGACGCTGATATTGGCAAAGCCGTGCTCGAGACCCTGAATATCTTGTGCGAGGTAGACGACAACGCAAGTGCACAGGCCCGTGAACTTGGCTTCAAGCACACTGATCAGGTCCTTGCGGACGAGAAAGTCGCTCATAAACTCTTCGCTCTGCTCGCAGACACATCGTTCTATCTCCGCCTTGCTGCTCTGCAATTTTTGGCGACGCTCCTGCAGAACCGTCGGCAGGTTGTACAAGCCTACTTCTTGAAGGCGCCAGTGGGTCCTACCAGCTTCGTTGCCGTGTTGGAAGAGAAGAGAGAAATCATTCGACATCGTGAGTATCATCTAATGCACGTTCCTCCGTTTACTATGCGCTTGCCCACCGGACGGAGCGGCAGGGCAATTATGCCATGTTATGATACTCTATAGTCC